TTAATCAATTAGGCTGAGGTAAATGTAAACTTGTTTTAAATTGTTCCCTGCCTAGAATGATAAATGCTGGATCTACTTTACTCTGCCCCCTAGATTTTTGCTTGTACCTATTAAATTGTGGCTATGCAATTCTTCCTGCTATCTCCTTATTCTCAGTTTAATGGTTCTAAGATTAGTAGTAAGGTTTCCTGAATTTTCCTACTAAGATTTCTCTGTAGGAACTCCAATAGTCACATGTTTGACTTAGGCATATACTTATGCATCAGTTCACCTAATTGTTGAGAAATCAGGTTTGAATTCCTTAACCAATCTTTTATTTGCTTATTGTCTATGCTTATGTGTTTTAGATCCCCTTGCTCTTTATCCCTTTTCCAATATTGTTGTGTTTGGTGACATACTGAATTACTTGACTCTGACAGAACTGACCCTGCTAGCACTAAAGCCAATAACTGTATTTCTCAAACTCAAACTCATACTTTGTGACTCATTTTCCAGAAAACCCTAATCATTTACCCTCACTCCTTGATATGTGTCTTGTCTTTGACCCTAGCTTGTGTTCAATTTCTCCTTGGCTGATGTTTTTTCTATCTCATCAGTTTATTAAAAGAAAAGTTTTCTAGTACTTTCTTTTACTAACAAATTATGTTAATGAAAGACTTTGCAAGGCTAATGCACTTAATATATCTAAAGCAAAAGTTACATCCAAGTTTTTCAGATTATCAAATTATTTCTTTCTTCCTTTATCATCCTTGATGGTCAACACTCTTCTTCATTTCCAGTAACTTCTGGGTTACCTCAAGGCTCTATCCTTTTATGTTTCTTATCTAAATTAATGATCTTCCTGATAACCTTAGACCTAAAGTACTGCAATAACTATCATGGTTGTGGCTCAAAGGAGCTGTGATCTGTAGTTCATCAATCAAAACTCTTTCTTGCTTGACTCGTCATTCAGCAAAGTTGCATTATTTTATTGTATCTCTCCCTGCATGCTCTAAAAACCTTTATTAGTTTTTATAATTTTTATTATTCTATTTAGTTTTTTTTTCCCTGCACTACAAACTTTTGAAACTCTATCCCAACTCTATGTTTTCCTGACTTATACAACCTTTAAAGTCTTCTGTTGTTTCCTTGTTCTTTAACTCTATTCTTTGTTTTTAGTAACTTCCAGCTTAATAGTAGTTGCAGCCTCGTTGGAGTGAATTAGAATTCAAATTTGCTGCTCTATTTTTCAAATCGTTTTAAACTATATCATAAAAAAAAAGCCATGGTTGAACTAACATATATTTAAAAATACTTTTTTTTTAATTTTTAATTTTTTTTTTTTAAACTTAAAAAAAGTAAATCTATTTTTAACACCTCTATACAAAGCTTTTTATATTTTTTATTATATAATGCATAGTCATAGTATTTTACTAGTCTGGAAACGCGGGCCGTTTTCTAAAGATTTTGTGAAATAACTTGAGCTTTAAGGGGTGACCAGGCTAACAGTACATCAAATGTTTTTAAAATGACTTTGTGTAGCGCAGATTTTTAAATTTGAATGAACTCGATGCTGTTTTAGCTGCTATTGAGTTGCTATTTGTTGGAGACCAAAATTTTAGTTCAAACAATAGACTGCCTAGTTTAATTTATCCTAACCAAAGTGAAGAAAAAATATTTGTTTGTTTGTTTTGCAAAAAATAATGTATATCACAAGGTGACTCGTCATCTCAACGTCAAGCACAAGGACAAGATTACTGATAAACATTTAGTAAAGAATAAAATAAAGCAAAGATTATTCTTCATTGCAATCTAGATTGCAGTGAAGCTTGCTTCAGATAAATGGCACTCTGCTATAAGTTAAATTTAAAAATTTTAAATCAAGTATAAATATTTCAAGTATTTCAAGAAGTCATTACAGCTAAGTTGGTAGTAAAAATGTAACTGATTCATTTTATGGAAATGTTCAAATTTTTTACCGCTTACAAAATATTTTCTGAAAAAAACAATTTCTTCCATATTTTGAAGTAGCAAATCTTGACTTTGTTTATCTGACTGGTACCTCTTTTATCAATGATATTATATCGTTTAAGCATGTATCCCACCACATTACTAAACAAAATACTCTATTATGACTTAGTGGGAATGTTTTTGGTACCTCTAATTTTACAATTGGTTTTAACATGTCTAAGTTGTATCATGAGCAGTGTATATCAGATTTGCTTGCTACTAAGTATGCATGATCATCTAATATTTTATATACAAGTTCATAGATTTTATATTGCAAAAGATAACCTGAAAGCTTTCAAGATTTAAAAAAAAGTCAAACTAAATTGATATATAAAGAATATCAATTAAAAAAACTTCTATTTTGGAACAAGTACATTAAAGAGAACGTGAGATGACTTGAACTTACTAAAACAGCTATTTTTGTTGGTATATAATTAGCTCCTAGAGTAGTACAATAAATGCTTCATGTGTATTTAATAGTTTTATGGTGTAGTAGATTTATAATAAAATAACAATACAAGATTGAATTATAAAAATCAGGGATGTGGAGTCCCAAAAGGACTCCGGTTTTATGTCTTTACTCTTTCCAAATCTGTAGTGTCCAGAAGCTCTAAGCATGTTTGTTGATCTGCTATAAGAAAAAGATTTATGAGATTTAATGATTTAAAACCAGGGCTGTGGAGTGGAGTTGCAGAGTTGCAACATTTTTAGCAGAGTTGGAGTCACTAAACAAAAATACGACTCTGATTCCAATAGTAAAACTTCTCGGTATTGCACGTGCATGTACAAAACATCCAATTAACCTTATGTTCATACTAAACCTCAAAGAGCATTTCATAAATTTGTAAAAAAAAAAAAATTTTATTTTATAGCGTAATTTTTTTTAAAGTATTCAAAAAATTTTTCAAAAATTTTGCTTTGGAGTTGTAGTTGGAGTCGGAGTTGGAGTCAGAGTTGAAGTCAGAGTTAGAGTTGTACTCCAAAAATTTCAACAACTGGAGTCAGTTGGAGTCGTTACTTTTTTTTTACGACTCCACACCCCTGCTTGAAACTTATTTTTTTTTAGCCTGGAGTCCTGGAGTCTCGGAGTCCTTGCCGCCATTATATCTAAAGAATCCAGGTTCAAAAAATGATTGTTCTTCAAACTTAAAAGTCTTAATTTTTTTCCTATTAGTAGTCCATAAACTTATTTATATTTTTAGAGCTCTTGGATACCAAAAACTAGGATAAAGTAATTTTTTTGTGACTTTCAAATCTGGAGTCCTTTTTGGGACTCTGCATCCCTGATAAAAATAATATAATTGTCTTTTTAATTTTAAAATGATAATGACAACACTACTATTTTACATATATTTTATAATATAAAAAGTATTTAGTTTTGAACCAATCTAATAATATCTGCTTTTTTTTTGGCATGATTTAATACTATATTACTACCACTTTGTATTACCCGTGTAGCTAAACACATTTAATTTACACTTTATATTACCCGTGTAGCTAAATGCATTAAATACCCGTGTAACTAAATAACATCTTTTTTTTTTGGTATGATTTAATACTATATTACTACCACTTTATATTACCTGTGTAGCTAAATATATTACATTTCCAGCTACTAAAAATATTTTTTAGTTTTTTTATTATTGAAGCCAAACTCATTAAAAGATGGGTTATCCTTGCAAGCACTAAGTGATTGTTAGTGTCGAAAATAATTTTAAAATAAGCTATTCCATAATATAATAAAATTTTTTAATACAGCAAGGTTTACACTTTTTAATAAATATTTTGTCAACTTTATATGCTCAAAAGTAAGTTTAGGTAAAATTCATTCCCCAGTATAAATTTACCATCCGTACTTAGTTGGATAAATCATACTTAAATAAGTCAGTAACAAGATGTTTTATTTTAATGTGGTGGATTAGGTTAACAAGTTGTTTTATTTTAATGTGGTGGATCATTTAAAATGCCTTTTCAACAACTTGCGATTTGCAGAAACATCGCATGTTACAAGCAACAACATTTAAGAAATTTAGTTTACAAATTTTGATTGCTTTCTAAAGCAAAAGAAATGTTTGTCATGCAGTCGTGCCAGTTGTAAAAGTCAGCTAGATTAGTCAAATATATCATCATACACTGCAGCTGATTTTGAAACTAGATAATTAACATGAAATATCTTATTTTAGTAAAAGATAACCTTAAATTTGGAGGTATTTTTTTGCATAAAATAAAATAGATAATAAATTATAGCTTCAAATTTAAATCAAGATTTGAAATAAAATTCTGTAACTTAATTAAATACATTATGATTTTTAAATAAAAATCTGTAATCTTTCAATACACTACTTTCTTTTTAATTGAATATTGTTTGATTTATCTATGTTAGTGATGTAATATTTGGTAGCAGATTTTGGCATCATCTTTATTGCTTCAAGTATAATTTTTTTATTTGCTGTTATATAAATTGCAATACAGCATAATAAAAACAAAAATGTGTATTCTAGCTTTTGAATTTTAGTTTAAGAAGCTTTGATATACTAGTTATTTTTAAAGTATTTATTAAAATCCTAATTTTTTTGTACTGAATAAGTTTTTTACTATTATTAAAATAAAAAAACATTTTTACACAACATTTATTGTTAGTATTGCACCTGTGAAAAGGTAGAAGTTCATTGAGTAAAATATGTGATAAAATATGGCCTCACAGAAAAACAAGTTAAGGGCGGTACTACCAGAGACATTTTAGGGATTAAAACTTGACTTCTTGCAAATAAATTAAGCATATTATGATTACACCTCTGCTACATAGATGTAAATATTAAATTAATCATTTATTACATAACTATATTAAATAAATATTAAATTAATCATTTATTACATAACTATAACTATATTAATATATAAATTAATTTACTGAATTGTAAATATTGTAATAAACTAATTTTTAATTTAATTATATAGAACTACATATAATTAATTAGATATTTAAACATTTAGTATGTTATATTTTTCAGTATGTGGTGATGTACTTATTCCAGTATTTGCTGAAATGTCTTCAGCAGTTAAATTTACAATAATGGATGCATATATTGACAGCCCATTCACATGGTGTGCTTTATCTAATGATAGTAAACCATATATAATAATTGAGTTGAATCAAGTTTTTGCAATATCAGGTATTAATGTCCAAGGTGATTCTAACAGTGATTTATGGGTAACAGAATATCGAATTTCATATGGTTTAGTTAAATATAAAATGAAAGATGATGTGGTTTGTGTATAAATATATTTTTTGTTTTAATTTATTGCATTTACATGTTTTAATATTCAAAAACTTGTAAAAAAAGTTCTTGCATTATTTTAAGCTTGTTTTCTGTATTAATGCTTATTTTTATCTAAAAAAATTATATATAAAAAAAATTTTTATATATAACGCGATATATATATATATATATATATATATATATATATATATATATATATATATATATATATATATATATATATATATATATATATATATATATATATAGTTTCATAACTATTTTTTTTTTTTTCATAGTCAGGCAACTTTTTTGAAAACAATGAAAAAACTGCATACTTCTAGGTTAAATACTAAAAAAAAAATTTAAATATTCTTGAGGTCCTTTCTAATATTTCCTTGTTGATGCCTTTGAAGTCCTGTAACTCATTGAAAAGTTTCAAGTCATTGAAAGGAGCGTCAACTCCTACTGGGCATGCTAACCTGTGTTTGATATACACTAGAGCACTAAAAAAGTATTTATATCTTGCAGCTTTACAGCAAAGTTGTTCACAAGGCCAAAAGTAGCAAGGCCAAGTCCAAGGTCAAGGCCACAAGTAACAAGGCCAAGAACAAAGCCAAATGTTACAAGGCCAGGGCCAAGAATAAGAGTTTTAAGACCAAAGCCTACACAAACATTTTCAAGACCAAAGACTTAAATATTTACCTTATGTTTACCTTAAGGTCAAATATTAACAAAACTGTAGGCAGCAAATGCTGTGACAATAAAACTACTTGTTGTGAAAGTAATCAAGTTTATGCGAAAAATTCAACTAAGAATTCAACAATAAGAAAATATAATTGTAGATATATATGAAAGTCGAAAACAAAAATTCATAAAAATAAAGTATGAAAACTTTTATTTCTTTAATTCAATCAAGGCCAATACCAAAAATTTTAAGGCCAACACCAAGGCCAAGGCCAAAAGTTTCAAGGCCAAAACCAAGGACAACGCTATAATTTTTGGCCTTAAGGCAAGGCCAAGGACTAATAACTCTGCTTTACAGTAGTTTCCTCCTTATAGCCCATGGAATATCTAAAGAAGTACATTTTAACCGGGTGTATCACAGATAGCTCCAATCTTGCATGATGAAAGGGAAATCCTTTTTCCTGGAAATCTTTATAGTATTCATCATTTGGGCTGTGAGTACTTCCAAACAGCACTTACTCTGTGGAGTCTTTCCAATATGTGATGTCTGCATGCAAAATGAAACAATTTTTTTTCTAATAGAATTTAAGTTTTTATGCATGCACCATTTTGCTACCATGAATTTGAAGCAATTGTGTTTAAAGACAATCCAACTATATTATCTGCTAAATTCCATTTCTATACAAGAGAAAATGTAGCTGTGGCTTGACTAAATTCAGTAGTATCCACTACTTCTGGAACACCTAACAACTTACCTCGTTCGATGCCTGGAGTTTTTTAAATTAGCATTGCTAGTCTATCTAACCATTTTTCATGAGGGTCCTCTGTTACTTTTCTGTCCCAGTACAAAATACAAAATTCAGGAGCCACAAGCAATTATTTTATTTCATCTTCCATTATGGCTCTATTTACTTGATGATATTGGTTACACAAAGTTAAGTTTCTTTCCTGATTTACATAGCTTGCAATCTTTCAAGTCATCTGTCAATGGTTATCTTGCTCTACATCTTGTTCATCTTTTATCTTCCAGTAACTTCCAACTCTTATAGTGGTTGCTTGCAGCTTTGTTGGAAGCGAAAAAAAAAAAAAACTTATCAGTGTTATTTGAGATTTTGATAATTTGCCAATTGCCTAATTTGAACAAATATTGATTGATGATTTCTGTTAATATTTAATATAATCATGTTTATCATGTTTGTAAAAAGTACTGTAGATATAGGTAAAATTAAAAAAATATCAACAGAAAAGTTGTTTACTTGTGTTTACTATTCTAAATTTGAAAAAAAAATTTCCTTTTATATGATGGCCCTAGGGTTGTAACCCCAGTTGCTCTCCCCTAAATCTGGCCCTGTATACAAAGCACTTTAAACGTCACTAATTGGATTTTGAAAATTAAGGATAAACATCGTTACAAATTTTTAGTTTTTGACATCGATGATTTTTATCCTTCATTTAGTAAAAAAATGCTTACCAATTCAATTAATTTTGCCAAATAGCACCTAATAATAACACAAAACATTAATTAAACCCGCAAGAAAATCTTTACTTTTTAACAGTGAAGATGCGAGAATTAAGAAAAAAGGACTCTTTGATGTTACAATGGGCGCTTACAATGGTGCTGAAGTATGTGAGTTAATAGGAATTCTTCCCTGTTGTGAATGACTGTTTCAGTGTGTAAATCACACTGGACGTATTATTTGATCTCACTAACAATTCTTTTCAACCCTACCATAAATGCAACAATGACCTGAATTATGTTCACTCTGATTCAAACCACCCACCTAGTATTATCAAAAGACTCCCTTGTACTGTTGAATTGAGATTATCTGCCACGTCAGTAAATGAACCTGTTTTTTATAATGCTATCCCACCTTATGAAGAAGCTTTAAAATAGTTTGCCATAGTTGTAAATAACAACCTCAAGTTATCTTGACTAAAAACAAAAATTGAAAGCAAAAAGTCATGAAGTACAACCCTCCATTTAGCCAGAATGTGGAAACAAAAATAGGCAATTGTTCACTTGCATTAATTGACCTGCACTTTCCAGTAAACCATAAATTTCACAAAATATTCAACAGAAATTTAATTTTAGTTATAGCTGTATTGAAAACGTAAAGTCTGTAATTAGTTCACATAACCACAAGATTTTACACAGTGATACAAATGTGAATGCAAGAATTTGTAACTGCATTGCAAAGACTGCTTGCCCATTGATCAGTTTTTATTAAGTAATATTGTTTATCAAGCTACTGTGATTGATAAAAATTCTAATCCTAAAGAAAAAGAAAATATATATTTTGGTATCAGCAAGACACCATTCAAACTTAGATACGCAAGTCATTTAAAATCTTTTAATGCTGTGAAATACAGAAATGGTACCAATCTTTTTAAGGAGATTTGAAGTTTAAAAGAAAAAAACATAAAGCACACAATAAAGTGAAAAATTATAAAACACTGTAAACTTATTAAAACAACATCAAAAATTTGTAACCCCTGCCTTTATGAAAATTTTATAGTTTTATATCAGAAAGAAAACAACCTGCTTAAAAAAAAAGAGAACAGTAGAAAACAAATTTCTACTGTTCTCTTTTGATACCAGTGACTATATATATTAGGGTGGTTCAAAAATGGGTCATAGTAAAATTTCAACAAGAGTGGAAGTTTATAAGGTGCCCAGATATTGGTTTTATATATAAATTATTTTATTTATTTTTTTTCGTTAATGTTCAAGGGTGGTCCACGGACCCTAAACATTTTAATTTTGATGATGTATGTTGATTTTTCAGAAATTTCAACGCCCGTGGGCACCCTAAAACAATAGGAAAAAAAAAAAAATCATCAGTAAACTCAGAATGAGTAATAGAAACAAATAAAAATGCATTCTTAATGAAATTTTTTATGTAAAAAGTCTGAATGAACCTGAAAAAATTAGGAAAACTGAATATTTGGCTTTTTCAAGCTTTTTTTTTTAAGTTTCTTATGACGACATTTTTATCATTTTTTACAGTTAAACCATCTAAGGTTTTAGATATCATACCACAATATTGCATTTTATATATAAATTTGAGAAAATATAAAAAAATATATTTTTTTTTGTTGATCATGGTACAGTTTTGTTGACTAAAAAGTCAAATAATGCTGGAAGTAGCATTGCTGCGAGATCGTTCTTCTTGGATCCTTGTTTACTTCTCTTGTAGACATGGTTAAACAAGAACAAATATTGCCTCCTCCTCCTCCTTATTGGATTTCATAATAAGTTTCTGAACTAATTTGATAGCTCTCTCAGAAGAATCATTGACTACATCTAGAGATTTGATGGTAGTCTCAAACTCTAGATAAAAATCATTCAGCTCCCAGAATTTTGAAGGGGTTTTAAGCCACTGTAACTCCCCCTTCCCATGGCCAATGAGTGAATAACTTTCTTATCTACTTCAATAGGCTTCAGTTTGAAGACATTGGGTCTGTCCAAATGAGTACTATAGAGTTTCTGAGCTAACTCGTCTCTATCAGGGTAATTCTTATCAGCTAAAGCAAACACAACTAGAACTGGACTTAAGTACCAGTCATGCCTTGACATTGATCGAACTACTTCAGTAGCTCCAGGAAGATTTATTTCCATAAACCTCTTCATTTGCCAGAGGGCTTTCATGTTCTATCAAATATTTAAAGTAAATAATATTCAATTGTTATAGTTTACATGTTGTCATTTTTATTTTTATTCTAAACCTTTTATAAATTTACCTGATATGGAGAAGCAGCTGGCAACTCAGCTCTAAGGAACCATTGAGCATAAAATATACTGACAAACATAGCCATATCAGATATTTCCTCTTTGTTCTCTTTAGTTAAACCAGGAATGTGATCGAGTAGAAGGTACATTTTCAGATGTTATCTGGTCCTGTAAGTTTATTACTTGAGCACATCTTACAGAAGTGAGTAATATGATGCTCCAGAACATGGTGTCGACAGGCAAGGAGAAGAGGTGGCCATCCTAACTTTTCTGACATTCTGGTATTTACACCTTGAAGCTTTCCAGTGTTTGATGCAGTGGTATCAAAACAAATACATTGTACTTGGTTAGTGAGACCATAGATCTCTAGAAGTTCATAAATAGCATTGAACTGCTGTTCTCCAGTCCCTGAATCAATAGGAGGAATACCTAGTAACTCAGTTTTCCCATTAACTTTCACTAGTACTGCAAGTCTATCTTGAGTAAGTGAAAAATTTCCTGTGTACTCTTTTACTATCTTCCCATCAAAATGAACAGAAATCAATTTATGACATAAGTTGGCCAGGTTCTTGATGTACTGTCGAATTTTTAAGCTTCTGAATTAATCACATGATCTATAGCTTTTAAAGAAGAAGATTTAGAGACAACATATTTACCAACATTTCCTCCTGAGAGTGCTATTACACTGCTTATGATAGTGTGCTGATTCACTGAAAGACCTTCACCTGCAGCAATTATAGCAGTACGCCTGAGAATATCTTTAGGTAAAAGTACACTATTTTCTTTATCCTGGACATTTGTGGAAACAAACTCATCCAGGTCACTTTCATTGACATCACCTGCATTGAAATGAATCAACAGAAGTATCTAATTCATCTTCATCTAATCTCCACAAACATTTTTAAAAGCTCTCTCAGCTGCTTTTTTGAAGCTGGTGTCGTTAGGTCCTATGTAACCTGTCCTTTTCTCCTTTTGCATATTCAAGAATTTTTTTAATCTTCTTTCTTGGCTTCAGCTGTTCTTTTTCTGTCCTGTTGTATATCTTCAATTAATACTTCTATGTTATATCCTATCCAAAATACCTTCTTAGATTCTGTTACAAAGTTCTCCCTCTTCATGATTTCTGCTGGTTTTTCTTTATTCCTATGATATTGCAACTTCTTGTAGTTATTCAGCAATGTTTCTACTTCCTTCCTAAAATGATTAATGATAAAAGACTTCAAGTAATTACAAATAAAGTAATCAAGTAATTATAAGTTATACTAATATTAATGAAACAAACCTGAGAGAATTCTGTACATCACGAGTTCTATATCCCCCAAGCTTCCAAGGAACCACCAGCTTAGACATAATACAGCAGTGATTCTTATCTTCTGGACAGATTTGTGTAAAACCATTATTGTTGGTACAGCAGGCAAGATTTCTCAGAGCAGCATAAGGCATGATTTTATGAAGGTGAAGGTAATACTGAATAATCTTTTCTTCTGTGGCAAATTGCTTAGATAGAAGTGAGTCCCTTGATTTACCTAAGAATATTTCATCAGCCCTCTTTCTTTTTTTCCTAGGAGTTCTTGGCATTTTATCTATTTAACTATAAAAGAAATAATAGACATAACATAATTTAACTTTATATATTTTAATATTAAAGAATAAACATATTTCTTAGAACTTCACTTGTATTTGTTTAAGTTTTGCTACGAGTTCAAACACTTGATTGACGTCACTTGCAGTCTTATTGCCAGTTTGGAATAAATGTGTACAGTTGTACTCAGTACCGTTGTACGCTGAGAAAATACGTGGGTTATAGAGTACATTGAAGTCTAGATAGTCTTCTTTCTCATCTTAATTAATTTTAAATTATCTAAAAAAAATATTATTTATACTGGTAAATGATTTTCTATACATATTCATGAGATTTTAACTGTAAAAAATGATAAAAATGTTGTCATAAGAAACTTAAAAAAAAAAAGCTTGAAAAAGCCAAATATTTGGTTTTCCTAATTTTTTCAGGTTCATTCAGACTTTTTACATGAAAAATTTCATTGAGTGCATTTTTATTTTTTTCTATTACTCATTCTGAGTTTACTGATGATTTTTTTTTTTTTTTCCATTGTTTTAGGGTGGCCCACAGGCGTTTTAATTTTGATGTTTGTTCAAAAATCAACAAACATCAAAATTAAAATGTTTAGGGCCCGTGGGCCACCCTTGAAAATTAACGAGAAAAAAAAAAATTTATATATAAAACCGATATCTGGGCACCTTATAAGCTTCCACTCTTGTTGAAATTTTACAATCACCCATTTTTGAACCACCCTAATATATATATATATATATATATATATATATATATATATATATATATATATATATATATATATATATATATATATATATATATATATATATATATATATATATATATATTTATTTGTTTGTTTAATTATTTATTTATATAAATATATATTTACCCAGATCACTGATTCCCTGATAGTGTAACGCTGAAGTATTAATCATGCAAAAGTTATTTTATTTTAAAGTGTGTTAATTACTTAAAATATATCATTCCTCAAAACAGATTTATTTTATTTAAGCTTTATTAACTCTTTGAGTCACAAAATTGTGTGGTGTATTGGTTAATAAATTTAATGGTGGTGCCCCCGCTCCAAGTACAAATGCTATTGAAGTCTATTTTTATATATATATATATATATATTTTCTTATTAATAACTAATTGATGCTAATATATTAATAATAATAAATATTAATATAATAAAAGACACGGCGGTTAATAAATAGTTAAGTAATTCAGTTAATATAATATGCGCATGACATGTCTTGCTTTTAAAGAATAACGTTATAGTTAATGCTCTTACTATCGAATCCTTAATACAAGGGGAGGGTAAAAAAAGAGGGGTGGACGGAAATTTTATTCTAGAACTAATAAAGGGAAGCATTTTAATAAAAGGGGGAGTGGGAATTTTTTTTATGATAAAATATAAGTATATTTTAAAAAAAGGTTTAGTAAATTCAAACTAATATTTTTTTACATAATACGCATAAAACTATTTAATTCTAGCCTGGTTTGCATGCGCATTTTTGAACAACTGTTTTAGCATAATTTTACCAGTTTGGCGATTTTTTAAAGTTGAAAGTTTTTGTTTTTATCGATGGCTGAAAGAGTTATTTTCTAATTTTTAAGGCCGCTGATTTTTTTTTAGTTTTGAGATATATAGTTTTTGTTGACAACAAAAACTATAGAATAATTTATTTAAAAAATAAATCTCTGTGTATGAGTGGGTTAGTGTTTGTTTATACATAAGTGTTTGCATTATGCCCGTATTATATTGCGAAGTGAATTTCAATTAAATAATTATTAAAAAAAAAAACTGTTTTAGCCATGATTTTAAAAAATCGTCATCGGTGCTAAAATATATTAATATAGTATAAGTCATCATTTATATTTATAATTATAACAAAATTCGAAGTACAATTTATTACTACGATATTTTATTTTTCTTTCTTTTTATTTATCTATTATATTTTCAATTGAAATATTTTTTGTTTTAAACATCCTTATACCCAACCACCTGAACACCCCTCTCCCCCACACACACACACACAAACACAGAACATTAATGAACACACTCTTCACAAACTTTTAAAACATGAGCACAAATAAAACACCATTATTATTTTTATTGGAATTTTTATGGATGAATGAGGAAAAATAATTTTCACAAAAAACTTTACCTAACAACATTGCACACGCGTTTTACATTATCAATATTTTAGGGTCGTTAAGATATTAGTAATGGTTCCTATGTGTAAGAAAATACAAATAACTTTTAAAATAGCCATAGTTCTTAATTACAAGGAATATTTTATATGGCAACCTTTTATTTGTTAATTGATTTTTAAAAGCTCAGCCTTATTTTTAACGTAGATCATATCTATGTTAAAAATAAGGCTACATTAGTGCAAAAGTTTCACAAAAATAAAAATCAAAAAAGGTTAAAAGGATTTTGGCATGCCTAAAATTTATTTTTAAATAATACATTTTTAGTGGAAATCATAGAATGGTTTATCTATTGATTATTATTGATATTTGAAATCAATTTTCTAAAAATCTGACTGTAGAATTGCAATTTTTTTGTTTGTTGACAACAAGTTAAAATAAATAAATGGGGGAGAGGGGTCTTAATAAGCTTGGGGTTGTTGGGAAAATTTCCAAAAATAATTAACGTTCTCCCCCCCCCTCCTTTTTTTTGTATTAGGGACTTAGAGAGTAATATAGTTTATAAAGAAATTCTTTAATGAAATTTTTTAACTTATTATTTTTTTATTTTTAATGTTTGTTTTCAGTCATTTAAATTTTTAATTTTATCTATTTATACTCATATACATATGACAATATGTATACACTAATTGTATATATGTACAGTTGGTGTACACCATGTATGATGAGTCTTTGTTTGTGTTTTATCAATAATGCTCTTAAAAACACAGTGTTAAACACTGTTCTTTTAAGAACATTTAACACTCTATTTTGTTGAATACATTTAAAGTTATTTTTATATAAACATACACACAAACAAAACATACTAAATGTTGCCTAGCTGTTGCCATTTGGTCACTAAAAAAAAAGGCACATGATTTTCTAAAAGACCAAGTAGCGACAATAACAGCTCATGGGGAGATAATAAGTATTAGGTGTTTTACCGAAACTCAAATTATTTTGCAGATTAAAAAAAATTATGCTTTTTAATATTTTGAAAGAAAATATATTTATTTTTAGGAAAAATTAGGAACATTATGTATTATACTCTTGTTTCTTAATTATGCTAGTCATCATGAAATTTCTTTCAAATTTTTATAAGGTTTTAATGACATGAATTTTTTTAACAGAACTGCATTGAAATTAAACTTTTCAACTTGAATTCTATTTTAAATCAATAATTAAATTTTGAGTTCAATTTTCTCTTTTTCCATTTTGGAATCTTTGCATCATTTTTATCTTTGAATTTTATCAAATCTTTAATTTTTTTAGATATTTGATTAAACAGTTGTTTATTATAAATTTTTGTGTTAAGGAAATAAAAGTTAAAGACTTTTTTAATAGTTTTTTTTTGTAATAAATAAAATGATTATTATATTAAACATCTTGTTTAGCATATTATATAAGTGATAATGTAATGAGTTATTTGATTTTTTTAGAAAGCATACATTGGAAGTAAAGGCCGAGTATTTCCTTATACTATAAACTGGTTTCCAAGTTTGTACTTTGCAAAGTATATAAAAGTAATGCCTAAATTTTGGATTAACAACTGTTGTATGCGTATTCATGTTAGAGGGTGCACAAATTGTAAGTTGTATTATTTTTAAATACGTGTAAAAATGAAAGTATTTATCTAAAAGTCATCTAAACTTAATAGTGATTTAAAAGTCATTTTATGATTAAAATAAATAAAAATAAATAATAAAAAATTTTATAATAAGTATTTTAATAAATCAATTTAAACATTTAAGATAAAAATTATAATGAAATTACACCTAAAAATTTGAGATTAAAACTGAAAAAACCAGCTGAATCCACTAAATCAAAAACCAAAAAGCACAAGAACAACAGTAAACTATTTATTGTTGTTATTGACAGTAAACTATTTTCTATAGTTTTTTTTTTAACAAGATCGCTTTCATCAAGTCACAAGTCATGTAAGTTTGTGTTTTTTTTGTTTAAATAAGTGATGATGCATAATGAATTTATGTTATATTTAGAATTTATATTTAGAATTTATATTTAGAATATTATTTAGAAAGCACTTAATAAAAAATGTTCATTTTTATTGTTTTTATCTTCTTTTTTTATAGTTATTTAATTTAAAATTCAATTAAATTTTGTCTTAATTATTTTATTTAGAATTAAATTAAATTCCAAATAAAGTAATTAAAATGAAATTCTATAAATATAAGTCTATACTAAACAGTATTTCTGTAAATAACAATAATATGTAATAATATATTATTTTGCAAGAAAAATTACAGTTTCATAAATATTTGTTAGTATAAACATTTATATTATAAAATTAGTTGAAGTATTGTCATAAAAAAAATTAACAAGTTATCAATAGAATGAGAAGATTGAAATTTCTATTTATTGTTAGAGATTAATTTGCTGCGCTCAAGATGAGAAATTCAAAGTTTATTAATTATTATTTAAATAATTATTATTATTATTCAAAGTTCAAAGACTCAAAAGCTTTGCTAAAAACAGTCAGAACACAACTGATTGTGTAATAGTTTAAATCGATTAATGAGTGTTAATTATTTGTAAAAGTATTTATTTTGTAAATAATTTTATTGTTTATTGTATAAGATGAATTTTGTCAGGTTATTTCATGAAAAAAAATTTTATCAATACTTTTATGATTATTCTGAAAGAAAACCTAATTGCAATTTTAATTGCAAAAAAATATAAACATTATTTAACTTTATTTGCTAACATTTAATGACATTTAATAAAGTTTAACCCTACAGAGTTTCAAAATTTCAAGAAAAGACAAGGATCTTTTGTTGAAATTTCAACACTCCATAAGGAGTGCAGGTCTTGAGATGAAGCAGGAGCTCCATAAAAAATTGTGCTTGAATAAAGAACTTGTGAGAGAGAAAATTATAAGTTGGTTTTATAGAAATTAATTTTGGAAAATTTTTTTGGTGAAGTCAAAATATGTTTAATTAAACAGTAGAGTTTGCATATTGTTAAATAATACTTAAATAAAGTTATATAGTTATAAGTTATAAAGTACATAACCCATAAATTAAAATTAAAAATCTCAATGCAAGAGAGCCTATGATTAATTTCTCCTATTTGAAAGTTAAATTCACCATGGCATTTTTTTTTTATTCCCATAAAACTTTATCATATTATCCCTTAATCATTATTCCGTTCAGTCGAACCATTCGCTAACTCACACAGTTTTTTTAGGTCTATTTGACAAAAAACTTTGCTTAACTAGGAATTTTACTTTGAGTTGCATAAAACTCTATGTAATAAAATATCAAAACTTGCAACACTTCAATAAAAGTTCCAAACTTTGAATGCTTAAAAATTAAATATATAGCGTAACTTTATTTGTAAGAATTTATTAAACTAAAACTTCATTAATAGGTTCGATTTTGTACAGAATTGATCAAATTCAAAACGTTCGAATATCAAATACTTTTGTGTCAAATATAATTTATCAAACTAAATATTTTTAATGATATTTTAAAATTGGTCAAGCTTAAAATAAAGTCTATTTATTAAAAAAGTTGAAGCTAAAGGAAACTAAAAATTAGAACTATAACAGAAAATTCATAATATAAATCTCTTCAAATTCCAAGTTAATGGGATTCTACTGTTTATTATTATTTTTTATATGTTTTGTTTATTGAAACTTTAGGAAGCTCACAAACAACAAAAGAAAAAATGTGATGTCACTTGTTTCATGCCTTCATGACCTGGTTTTTTCGGGTTGTAACAAACGCATTTCTATAAATATACATATTTAATATTAAATATATTTCTACTATAATACATATTTCTACAAATATATTTATTTCTACAAATAATTCCCTTGATAATAATTAATTTGTACATTCAGTTTAAATTAGAAAGCAGTTTTCTGTTTTGTAAAAACAATGAATCGAAAATTATGAAGTCATTACGTGACCTGAGTGCTTATTTATTTCAACTCCATTTTAAAATGTTAAAAGAACTTTTCCGCGTTAATATCTAAAAATAAAAATAAAACTTTTTATTTTTTCATTTTTCTAACTTTTTTTCTTATAAATAGTAAATTTAATAGCAAATAATATTTTCAATAGTTATTATTAAAGTTTAAAATTTATTGCATAAATAGTTGTTACCTTTATAAGATCACTTAATATTTTCTCCCAACGTTTTAAAATAGAGATGGAATAAATAAGCACTCGGGACGCAATTACTGCTAACAGATAGATTGGAACGTTTACTATAAACAAAAAAGGTGTTCGTCTGAATGAGAATAGAAAATTTAAATTATAAAGTTAAAACTTTATAAAATTTTGAAAAATCAAAAGTTTTAAACTGCAAATATGGAAAATGGGACAAGAAAACTTAGTTTAAAAAATCATGTGTTAAACACTTTAATGACAGAGTGACTAAAATTTCAGTAATTAACTACTTTTGTAATAAGTTAAATTAGTAATTATTTACTTACTAATATAATTATTTACTAGTAATTAGTAATTGATTACTTTTGTAATAAGTTAAATATAAATCTATAAATAGTTTTTTTTAATTTAATTCTTAAGATAAATACTTTTTTAAATATTAATTCAACTGTGAAAACTTGATTTCAAATAAATTTTAATTTTGGAGAATGGCTATAAAATAAATGATGCTACGTGATATTTTATTGTTTTATATAATATCAAAGCTGTAGAAACATATTTTTTCTGGTATATAGACTAATGCATTAGCGAAAAGGTCAGAGCTTTTTCATCATTTCCAAGACTTTCACATGAAAAAAATTTAAACAAAATAATTGTCCACCCTTTCTCTTGTACATACTGGTATGCTTTCGGGTGAACCCACCCCATACTTTCCTACGTTATTTGTGTATGACCCTATAGAAAGCAATTTCTAATCCTTTATTACTCTCAAAGAATTGATGCCCATAATTGTGCTTGTTAATAACGTGTTTCAGTTATATGAGCGCAAAATATCATACTAGGCAATTTTATTTATCATTAGTTAATTTAATTATCTAATCATTCTTAAAAACAGATTTTTTATAATATTTTTGACTACAGTTGAAAAATAGTGGTTCCTTCTTATTAAATAATAATACTTGTCAACTGTGTAGCTCAGTAACTATTGTGTACTGTTTACCTTATACTTTGTGCTGTTAATCATAAAAATGCTTTTTTGCTGGTATACTAAAAAATTTCAAAATTGTAAACAGTTAATACCAACAACAGGAAATGATGTTGTTTTTTGCTACAGGTGAATAAAAAAGAATTATCGGAATTACAGCTTAGTCTAGGTAGCTATAGGCTTTTCTCACTTTCTTTTTCAATAAACCAGTTTTCCTTAATCGAAATGGTGCTAAACCTTATATACATTAGTTTCCAAAAATCCATTTTGTATAATCAATTTGAAACTAATGTGTGGAGTCAATGTGAAATCAATGTGAATAGTCAATGTGAAATCAATATATTGAGTCAATGTGAAACTTATGTGTAGAGTCAATATAAAACTAATGTGTAGAGTCAAGTAAGATACATTTACGACTGTTTATCATAGGAAAAAAGATGCAGGTCTACAGGTATTTTCTATCATTATAGGTAATTGTTATCATTGACATTTTTTTTATTGTTGATATTAGCAAATGTGTTGTCTGTTGTAATTTGCTGTTTGATATTAGCACCTTTTCAGGATGATTCATAAATATTAATTTTCTTTTTAATTATTAAATTGAAAATTTACTCCAAATTCATTGATAAATCTCATGTACTGAATTATAAGAAAGATATAAGCCCATCCATCTGTACATGATGGCATTGATTTTATTTCACAGATAAATGCATACATATTACTAAGGATGTCCATTTTGTTGTTCATGTTGAAATTTTAATACACAATATTGCAAATGAGTTGAACAGATGTCATTTATGTATATAAATTTTTTGATGAGAAAGGCTGAAATCACCTGTGCCACTGATTTTTTTGTTAATTTTGACCAGTTTTATACCAAGTTTCAACTGTTGGTGTCAGTAGTAGCTATATTCCCATTGATTTAATTTTTTGTTAGTATATAATTAGAAAAATGAAATAGTTTAATCACCATTTCTTACATGTAAGTGATCTAGTGGAACAAGTATCTATGTGGAAAAAAAAACTTTAAAAATCACTATCGTATGGTGTTTTAATGAGATATAAAAAAGTAATTTAAAAAAATTTCCAAACAACTGTTTTTAAAATGAATCACGAAAAATCCAGCTGGAGTAAGTGGATGCAGAGCAACAAAATGTTGAACAATTGTTGAACAAATAATTTTGGAGTAACGAGAGTAGCTGATTCCTTGTACGCACTTTTTTCCTGCTTTTTCTTAGCATTCTTTATTTGGAGTAGTTCCACTTGATGAAATAATTCATCTGCTCTTTCAGATGAATTATTTTATCAACAGACAATGTTTTGGAACTTAAGATATCCTGCAGCTTTATTCATATCTCTCCATTAAACTAATGGAGAACTTGAGCATCCATTAAGAAAAAAATTCAAACAGCCAGTTATAAATTGGAGAAAAGTATTGTAATCCTTCCGTTTAGGCTTTATTTATTAACTGCTCAGATAAGTTTTTCAGTTAAAATTCCTCCGTTTTTTTGTGCTTTTTGCTGTGTACCTTGTACTGTCTTTTTGTTTAAGAAATTGACAACTAATTATTCCAAAAATATTTTAAAATGAACTTTTAATGATAATAGGTTAAAAAAAAAGATTAAAGAACTTTACTTAGGTTAAAAATATTTTTTCTTTTTTAATATGAACTTTTCTCTGGCTAAGTTGAAACTTTAGTAGAAAACATGTAAAATATTCAAGTTTTTAATTATAATATTTAAATATTCTCTAAAAACCAAAAAAATTTATCAATAATTCAAAAACATCTAAAACTAACTCTTAAATAATATTTAATATAAAGTACTACAGGCAAAAAAAATGAGGATATTTTTGTAAAATATTGTGCCAAATTCTTCTAATTATGGTTGGTATGGTTTCAGCAGATAAAGTTCCATGTAACCTCCACAGGGCTTTGCATTAGAGCATATAGAAACCTTTATTGCCCTCCCAATCCATATTTTGTTGCTACAGTTCTGTAATACAGGACTGTGTACATACCATACAGTGATACAATACAATCATACAGTGGTTTATTTATGGTTATGTAATTCAAAAATATGGGTTGGAAGAGTAAATCATACAAAATACTATTTTCTATAGTAAAATATACTTTTTATATAATTTTAAAAATAAATTTTTACTGATTTTGATGTATTAAAAACCAATCATCAATGTTTTGTTTAAGATAGAATAAGCAGTCAAACATTTCATTGCTCCTTTTTGAAAATTTGTCTCTTAGAAACAGAAAATGCTCAGGCGAAACTTATTTCTCTTTATCTTCTACAAGGAACCATTCCCTACAAGTACAAGTAGATATTTTAGGAACAAGTTGATCTTTTAGAAACAATTGTTTTCTTTGTAAATTCCTTTTCTTTTTTTTTTTTCCAGGTTCTTGACTGGGGACATTCCTTATCAAACTTGTTTTTGTTTTAAGCTTTACTTTAAAAAAAAAAAGTTTTTAGTTATAAAATTGAGAAACTAAAATAGTTTTTTAAGCGTATTGGGAATTATGGGATTGATTTTTGGACAAACATTACTCTGAAACAATAGAAATTGTCAAAAACCTGATTGGTTGTGGGTTTGATATTTATAAAATTGACAAACAATTTGATGTCACTTGAATGGTACGCTATTGTCATCTAATATAAATTTAGATAAATATTTATAAAAATCAGAGTTAAATTAAGTAAAAAAAAATTAGTTTTTTTTTTTTTTTTTAACATCTTCGCTTCCAACAAGGCTGCAAGCAACCACTAATTAGTGTTGGAAGTTACTGGAAGAGAAAAGATGAAGATTGTAGAGCAAGATAACGATTGACAGACGACTTAAAAGATTGCAAATTATATGAATCAGGAAAGCAAGATCAAGGAAGCGAATTCCAAAGAACTGATGTTCGAGGAAAAAAACTAGACGAGTTTTTGGAGCAATTAGGAACAGTAAGAGAAAAAAGATGAGACTTAATTGAATGACGAGTAACACAAGAATAAATTTTAGTAGATGGCACAAGAGGCGCTAGCTCTTTAGAGCAGTGTCCATTATAGTATTTGTAGAAGTGTTTACTGTGGAAATTACAATCTACAACAAAAAAATATTCACTTTGTCCTAGATTTAGCAGTTTATCATCATAAGTATTGAAACCTCAAATTTTGATATTTTTAGATTTTTTTGGCTTTTTGTAAATCCTAAAATATTTTAGGTAACCTGATTCATTATTAGTTACTATTTCATTATTATTATTCTATTAGCTCCAGTTGTATAAAAACACTGTAAAATCTTCAAAAAAGGTTTAAATTTAAAAAAATAAAAATATTGGCACAAATAGTAGTTGTGTTCCAAAGACACGCAAAAAAGTTCCAGATGGTTATTGTGGTACTCTAATATTATTTAGAGGCGCCATATAATAAAATTCCATCATGACAGATAAAATGGATAACCCGATAATAATTGATAGCTTTATTTTAAATTTAAAACTTGAATTATATCTTAAACTTATTTTGAAATTGGCAGTTGTTAGCATTAGTAAGTGAGGAGGTTTGATATTTGACAGGGGCTGGGACTCGGTTTGATAAAAGAAATTAATGGCCAGGTTTGTGACTAGGGCTGCATAAACAATGATACATTCTAAAAGTATATTATTTTTATTTGAAATTAATGTTGTATTATATATATATATATATATATATATATATATATATATATATATATATATATATATATATATATATATATATATATATATATATATATATATATATATATATATATATATATATATATATATATATATATATATATATATATATATATATATACATCTATACAAAGATGTATATATATATATATATATATATATATATATATATATATATATATATATATATATATATACATCTATACAAAGATGTATATATATATATATATATATATATATATATATATATATATATATATATATATATATATATATATATATATATATATATATATATATATATATATATATATATATATATAATCATCATCATTGCTTTAGCCTCCTCAATTTATGCTGTTTCTCTAATATAAACAATTTTTACCATTTTCTTTCCTTAGCTAAAGCTTGCTTATGCTATTTGTAATGCATTCTCTCTAAGTTTTCCCATCTCTCTTAAGATCATGGGTTCTTTTTTTATTTTGTTAGAGTCACACTATACTTCCATCTGATCATCATCTTCTTTCTCAGTAAATACTACATCATATAAATAGATAAGAGTTTCTAAAATTGAAACAGTGTTATAATTGGAACTTTTGCACTTTTTTTTCGAAATAAAAAGTCTCATGGCTATATAGTTTTTCCAGTAAAGTGTTTTATTTTAAGTTTAAAATGTAATTAATTACTTAAATATATCTAATAAATTGCTGCAAGCAACATCAACAAAATAGTTCAAAGTTTCTAAATAAATCAGTGATACAATCTAAGGGTTAAAGAAAATGATTATAAATTGATAGCTGTTGATTTTATTAAAAAAGCAAGTCCTTTCAATTAAGGAATCAAAATGTTCTAATTTAACTTTTTTTAATTTTCTTAAGTAATTTATGTTCCATTTGTAATTTAAAATTATATATGTTTCATAGTTTACCATTTTCGGTTAAAAAGTATTTATTACCAAGGTGTTGCAATTTTGGTAATTCTCCCCTACTAAAGTTAAGCATATAAATAAAAAACAAACATATATGATCAAATCAATATATATCTATATTATATGCCAGTATTTAATAAATAGTAAATATATCCATAAATAAATAATATATATTATATTATAAATTTTATCTAAGCCCCAGATAACAATTTCTAATAAATATTATAATTTTTGGCCTAGTCGCTTACTAGTTGGCTGTAACCAGCAAAAATGGTACAATGGTACACATTTGTGGTTAACCAAATTTGATAATGCATTGGCCATTATTAGTTGCTTAACATGTTTTAAATATATACTATTAATCTGTATATATTCGGATTAATGATTGGCAAAGCAGTATTCAATTAGTTGAATAATAACTACTTATAACTAGTTATATTAAAAAACTACTGGGTTATTCTATATGATATTTTTGTTTAATCATTAGCCTTTAAAAATTTTGTTCCACTAAAGGTAAATACTTTTTTTGCAGTTTCCAGCTTTGAAAATTAAATACTTAAAGTTTAGATTATATTATTCGAATTAGTTAACATTAAAAAAAAATTATTGTTAAGTTTAAAGTTGTTTAAAATTTTAATCTGCTTTTTGTTTGTCAATTATTTTTGTCATTGTGTTTTTAAATGTAGCTTTGGATGCTCCTATTCAAATAAATATAAGTGAAGAAAACAAAAAATTGGTGTTGAGGTGGAGGAAACCAGATATTCCAATTCCAATTCTAAAATACAATGTATCATATTTTTTATTTATAAATATTTGAATTATAGTTTTAATTTCTTTTTTTTATTTAAAATTGTATTGTGTATTTTAATATATATTATTTATTCATTTAATTTAGATAAGTTTACAATCATTCAAGCCATACAACAGTTCTTTTTTATTTTTGAAATCCGATGAGACAGTTAATACAAGCATGGCCATTGATGTGGAATTTCATGCAGCCATCTTTAACATATCTGTAGATATTGTGTATGACAAAGATTATTTTGTGAGAAAAAGTATACAGTATTATTCCAAACCAATTTGTATGTTGTTTTTTTTATGTTTATTTCTATGCATTGTTAAATACTTTAAAAATTTGTAATATTGCGTTATTTTGTGGATTGTAGCAATGTTTTTAATAAAGTTTATTTTTATTTTAGCACCTCCAACACCAACTTATAAAGTGTTAAAATACTTTGATAATTACACTGAAGTGTTTGAATGTCAGTTTTATAGTGTATCTGATATTAATGGACCTGTCAGGTTATCATTTTATGTTATTATTTTTCTTAGTTATAGAAGTTGTAAAAAGTATATTACTATAATAATAATTAGATTTTCAAGGTTTGTAGAAAACAATCATTTGATAAATCAATAATAAATTGTCAGATGATATTCAAGACCCATTTCGACAGCATTGAATTTATTTGGGGCAGATTTAATTAACACCTAAGCTCCATAATAAACCACTTGACATATTTTATGTTATATACATTGAACTTAGAGCGTAGGATTAAATCTTAGGGTATTCTAAAGTTGTTTTTCTTTATTTTTAAAGTAGCGTTTAGATATGTGTAAAAATTTATTTTAATCCAATATTTTTGTTTATTATCTATTGGTGCATTTATAACAACTGTCAACAACTGGTTATCGAAAATTCAATATATCTTTTATATTAGTTCACAAGATTTATTTTAGCATTTTTAATTAATCAAAACATTTATTTAATCATCATATAAATATGTGTAAAAAAAGATTTTTTGAGTTACTTTAGTTTTTATTTTTCTTTATGAATTTGAATTTATTAGTCTATACTATTTATTTTATTTTATTATTTATACTATTTATATTAGGTTTTAATTTTTTTTTTCATTCTCCTAGTAAATTTGTTTTCTGAATAAATAATATATATAAGTTTATTTTAAGACCTCTCCCCCACTTTAAATTAAATTTTTGGGGAGGGTGCAGAGATATGGCAGAGGGGTGCAGCTGTCATATCAATTTTTCTAGAATAGCCCCTGATTGTAGAGTTACTTTTTAGTTCTAATTAACATTCCAGTTCTATTCAAGAGTAATCAAATAATAAGTCATTATTATAAAAGTGCAATCACAGATTCATATTCATTATTAAATGCTCTAAGCAATCAAAGTATTGTTATTTTTATTTCAGTTACATTTTTTGCATCATCATCAAATAATGATGATGATAAAGTGGCAAACAACTATATGAATATGTTGATAATGATGATTATTTTAATTTCCATTACATTTTTGCAACATCATCAAATAATTCTGCTGATGATGATAATAATAATAATGATATTTTAAGTAGTATTTTTTTAAATAGATTTTATGAGATTATTATTGCATATGAGAACATATCTTCACAGAATATGGAAACATTAACTTTAAAAGATCAATCCACTGCTGAATCACTAAATCTTCCCTATTTTTTGGCTGCAAAATTGCCAAACAACTTTAATTTTAACTCTTTAAAATTTTATGAAGGTAAAGAAAGAGTGGATAGTTTGAATGCTAGTTTGTCTACTATTAGAAATTTGTTTCTTTATATTCGTGCTGTCATTAACATGAAGGTTTTTTATATTTTTTTTTTATATTAAATTTTTTAAACTCATTATTTTAATTGAAATATTTTGATGTAGACTTTTGAGTTTATTTGAAAATAAGTTGTTATTTTAATTAAAAGTTGTTATTTAAACTAAAAGTTGTTAAATTTTTTAGTATGTTAATTTTTAGGATAACACTTTTAGCAACTTAACGTATTATAGTAATGCCATTATGTTTACTATAAGTAAGTTTACATTTTCTATAAAATTCTTTAAATTAAATCTTGTATTTAAGTATAACAATTTTTCATAAAAAAATGTAGCAATATTTACTATTGTTTACTGGCATAATTTAGATCGAAACACATTACCTTTAAATGTTTTAAATTGGGGTAGAAATAATGAACATATCATTGAGTTAAAGAAAGGACCTTCAAATACAATGTTAGCATTGTTTGCAATTTTTACTACTTTTTACTTACATTATTATTATTTTTTTGTTATTTTAATTTTTTATCTTATTGTCATATACATTACCTTTAAAATATTAACAATTTGAAGGGTTTATGAAGTTGTTGCAATGAAAGTTAACATAAACACAGTTGTTAGAAATGTCACATCTAGTTATAAACATTTTAAAGTTTATTCAACTGCAGATTATAATGAACCTTACATTGCTGCTTCATTTAATACTTCAATGTATGAAAAGTACAAATATTTTGTTTTAGGTAAATTCTTTATACTTATTTTTTTTATAAAAGTATCTCTTTATACAAAAGGTTTGTTTTTTTAATTGTTGTTTTCAAATTAAATCGTCTACAATTTTGTGTAATTTGAATTACTTTTTAATTTTTTTAATTATTTAATTATTAAAAATTTAATTATTAAATTTTCTCTAATCTTAAATAATCTCTAATCTTAAATAATCTAAATCTTAAACAATCTCTAATCTAATCATAATAAACTAGAATACTTTAAACATAATCAATACATTTTTTTAAAATCAGCTTTTTATATTTAAAAATGTTGGGTCTCAAATGAAGGATAGTTTTGCAAAACTTTTAAAAATAATCATTTTATAAATAAATTATTATTTTAAATTGTATTGGTTAAAAATGATATTTTTAAAAGTTTTATAATTTCTAGTATCAGTGACTCTGCAGGCATTACACGGCTCAAAATTCTTTCGTCGTCCTGCTGACTAATGTGCTTCTCATGTAGATATTGTGGATTATTATTAGATAATTTCTTGGATTCAGGCTGGCATGGAATCTTTTAAACATTGATGATCAGAAAGTTATTAGATTCAAGATAATAGATTAAATGTTGTTAAAATGTTGTCCAGATCACAATCTGTAGAAGAGTCACAAGCAAGAAATCACTTTAAATACAAAAGCTGGATTGATACGAATGTCAAAAATTGGATCAATCTGTTTGTTGCCTATACCATGTAGAATGTGGTTATTGGAATCAAGAGATAAAATTAATGAAAAAAGTTCTAGCAAACAATTCAGCTTCGTTTTTTGGTGAAGACCATATCTAAGTCATACTAGAGAGGAGGAATAGAACAGGAGAGGAGGAGAGAACAGGTTTTCCCTTATTATTAATCCTTGTTAAAGATTCTCCAGAAATCTCTGGAGCCTAATTTTTATGAAGAAATATGAGATTTTGTGACCTGATATTAGCTGGTTTTAGCATTAGAAAAAGCCATTTAGCAATGGTTTCTAGCAATATTAAACAAAATGCCTGGTAATTATATGAGGTACAATAATATGTGAATTCTGATGATAAAAAAGAATGAGATAATAGTTTCAGAGAGGTCAAATCGTGATCAGAAGCATTTAAGGGTGAGTGTGAAGAAAAACACTCACTAGGATCAGAAAAAAAAGGTATATCTAGCATTCTCTACTAGATATACCTTGGTAAATGATTTGGTTTGTCTGGAAAGTGAGTTTGAAAGTTGACTATTTGTGTTCAATGTTATAAAAGGCAAAGGTTTTGGACAGAGTCTTAAAGCCCAAAACTAAGACTTTTGGGCCTACAGAGTCACTGACTCTAGAGCCAGGCCATTCAGCGTGATGAGCATTAAATTCACCAATAAAAACCGTAAAGGCTGAAGGATAATGAGGAAAAGGCTTGGTACATTTGATCAGGAATAGCATCTAAGAGAGTGCAGTCTTGAGATGAAAGACAGCAATATTGAACAAAAAGAAAAATGATAGAGTGAACTGGTGCTAAATAGAGGGGAGAGGTTAAAGCTATAACTCTCAAAATTTCTAAAGCCTTTGATAAAGTTCAGCAAGCTGATCTTCTCCATAAGCTTTTTTTTTTACAATGTACCAGGTAACATCTTTAAGGTTATTGAATCCTTCCTTACAATCATAGTATAAAAGTCTCCTTTGATGGACAGAAGCCTTCTTCATTTCCTGTAACTTCAGGAGTTGCTCAAGATCCTTGGCCATATACTTTTTTTTAGTTTACATTAACAATCTGGGCAAATTCTCACATCTAAGGTGGCGTTCGCTGATAATACTACCATTTATTATTGTCTTGATAAGAAGGCAACACTCTCTGATTGCAAGGGAAAAGAAGGGGCCTTTTGAGCTTGAAAAGGATCTCACTTATTCTACAGTATAGAGCTCTCAGTGGCCAGTAAACTTTAACTATAAATCTCTCATCCGTCCTGTATGAAATACTCTTGCCATATTTAGGATCTTCGAATGATGCTCTTTCTCTATAGATAAGGTACAAAAATGTATTGTGAACGTAGTTGAACCTGCTCTTTTAGCCAGCTGTAAACCATTGTCACATCTTTGTAATGTCGATTCTATTTCTCTTTTTAAAATACTAGGCACTGTTCTGAAGAGCTAGCGTCTCTTAAGTCATCTATTAAAATTCATTCTTGTGTTACTTATCATTCAATTAAGTTTCATCCTTTTAGCCATCTACTAAAATTCATTCTTGTGTTACTTGTCATTCAATTAAGTCTCATCCTTTTACTGTGACTGTTACAAAGTGCTCCAAAAAATTTTTTTTGTTTAGTCTTTTTCTCGAACATCAGTTCTTTGGAATTTGGGTTTATCTTGTTTTCTTGATTCATAAAATTTGTAATCTTTAAGTCGTTTGGTTATCATTATCTTGCTTCATAAACTTCATCTTTTCTTTTCTAGTAACTTCCGACTCTAATGGTGGTTGTTTGAGGTCTAGTTGGAAGTTAAAATATTAAAAAAAAAAAGAACTGAAAATAAAGTGAAGTATTTAAACTAATTTTTACAAATTTTTATAACTATAATTTTTTTAATCTCCAAAACTGTTTTTATTTAAAGATCATTTAATTCCAGTGTTGTTATATTATATAGAACATATTTAGTAGGTTGTGAGCAAATATCTTTTAAATTATCTTGTTGTTTGAGTAACCCTAATATACACACACAAGTTTATATTTTGTAAACAAATATATTTTAAATGTTATAATTACACAATTTTTTTCACACATCATTTTTGTTATTATATTTAATTATATTTTAACTGCTTTAGTTTTTTATTATATTAGAAAGCATTTGCTTTAAATTTCATTTGACAACAATAAACTTTTTTATAAAATAATTTTTTTTACTCTTTTATCATTATTCTAATATAAAATGTATAAAATGAATAATAATATCAAAATATTTTATACAGGGGTTATTCAAAATTTTAAAGTAAAGCCTAAATGTCATCATCAATTTTTTTTGTATGATATTAATGGTTTTATAAACAAATTTGAATCAAACTTGATAGTATCTAAGTGCCACTAAAATTTTCATAATCAATACAAAAAAAGTTGTTTTATCTAAAATTATAATTTTGTAACAATTTGATACTTAAAAATTTTAATAAGAGCTTGTTGCTGTTGCATAATACTGCAGTAGCAAAAACATTTAAGTTTATTTTTTTTCAAAATGTTAGTAAGTATATGATATGTAAAAATGTTAGTAAGTATAGATATTATGTTATTTAAAATGTTAATAAGTATATTATGTTATTGGTAACAGATTTATTAAATTTGATTAAAAATTATGCATTTTATATAATATTTTATTAGCATAATTAAAATGCAATCAGTTATTTCAATTGTTAATTTCAATTACTGATTGATAATTGATCAATATTTAGTTTAATCAATCAATATTTAGTTATTCAGTATTGAACAGTTTATAAAGTCATCTTTGATAGTTCTGGCTTTAATGTAGTTTGAAAAAAAATTCTATGCAGATCTAAAAAATAAATTAGAAATTGTTTTTGTCTCCATCCTCATTAATTTAAAATTAAATGTTGTGACACTGACTTTTTTTCACACAATTTTCTTTTATTCTTTTTAAAGACTTCTTTTATTTGATGAACTTCCATTTCAAGATAAACTGGATTGATTGTTTCCTCATCTAGTTTCTTCACTCGAAATGATTTTGTATTTTCTTTGCTGTTTGTTACAATGAAGTTGAAGAATTCAGTTGTGTGCTGTGTTACTTAAGCAGTCAATGGTTTCTGATGATCTGCTTAAATAGATATTTAGCTTTTCTTTTCAGATATTTCTTTGTGTTGATATCAACAGAAATATGAAAGAAAGCTAAACAAATCAAATTTTGAAAAAAGTATCAAAGGTGGTGATGATATTTTAGCTTCAGCATCTGCAATAATACAGAAGATTTGTTTTTTAATAAATTTTTTTGTTGAAAAATCAAAATCAAATTGCAATATTTATCTAACTTTTTTTTACTATGTGTTTTAGGCAACAATGAAACTTTTTCAGTTGAGAAGTTTGAAGGTTTTCAAGTTAGTAATGATCAAAACAATACTTATCAATATTTAAATGGTAAACTGATTGCTGGTCAAACATATACATTGTTTCAAAGAAATATTCTAGATAATGTAATTTTTAAATTTTATATTTTTTATAATATATATGGTAGAAAAAAATATATATTATTTTATTTGTATACTAACTACTGAATAAATGCTATGTTTTTAATTGTGTAATTTCCATTGTAATTTCTCCTAAAAGGTGAAGTTTTAAGTAACTATAATAAGTTGACTTATATACTCCTCTTTTAATTTTTGTGAGTTGACAATTGTTTTCTTTAATGAAATGATTAAAATAATGTACTTTCTTTTTATTATAATTGCTGACAAATACTGCAAGAAAGGTGTGCAAAGTATAGCCAAAAGCTTTGAACTAGTATGAAGTAAGTTTTTTAATTTTTTATTAACAATGTTTTAGGGTCGTATATACACAAGTCCATGGCTACCTGAGTTCATTGGTAAATATTATTTTTTTGTTGACAAGCTGTTTATTTACTTGTTATTACTTCAACTAAAGAAAATTATTGCTGAATGAATATTGAATTCTCTAACAGTAACAGAAGAAAATTTAGGAACTTTATTACAATCCATTACAAAAGTTACATTTTTTTAATAAAAAAAATTTTTGTAAAACTGTCAATAACAAAGTTATATATTTAGAATAAGATATGTCTATATAGATTTTATTATTTTACTTTTACCAGAATTTTTATTTTTATTTTACTTTTTACCAGAACTTTAAAGTGAAATTATTAGCAAATCTAAAATGTATATTCTGTTTGAAACTGAACTTGAAATTTTTTATTTTTACCATAGCACAGTGGTCACACAGCTCAAAACAGAATTTTTTTCAATTACTATTAATGGAATTTAATTTGTTTATAAATTACAATATGAATAAAATTTGATAATCTATTGTTATTTTTTTAGCATATTCCAATTTTACTCCTTTAACTGAAAAATCATCAACACGCTTATATCTTTTTGGATTGATTTTGATACCTGTTTTAATTGTCAGTTTGATAGCATTTTTAAAAATGTAAGTTTTATAATATAAATTACAGTACAAATAAGAATAAAAAAAATTAATAATAATTTTGCATAAATTAAATAATAATAATTTTGAATTTTTTTACAAAAAAAAAGCAAAACATATGTATTATTTAAAAAAATACAAAACATATGTATTATTTATTTATTATTATATTTATATATCAATACTAAAGTACACATAAAGATTTTAGAAAAATTTTATTAGAAGTTTAACATTTTTAGGTTATTATTTACTAATATTAAGTTAACATGGGCAAAGCTCAAAGCCTTATTAAATATATCATGAACTGAGTACATGTTTGACAAATTGTATGCTAGTTATTTTTGTTGTGGCATTTTGTGTAAATTAGGGTTGGCAAAAACCAGTGGGTTTTTAGGTAATTTTAGGTTTTATTGGGTAAGTTTGGGTTTTATTTTTATTTCGTATCTTTTAAATTTTTTTTTTTGTTTTAATAATATTCAAAATTTGATTTATCTTCTACTTTTTTTTATTTAAAATTTATTTTGTATAATGTTATTTTATAATTTATAACAAGAATTTTTCAAATTGATATGAAAAAGATTTTTAAATATAATTTAAAACTATAATAGAACAAAATCAAAAATAAATTGATTTATTTTAGTTTTAAAAGTAATACTTTTTATAATTAAAAAAGAGAAAAAGAAGGGGAAGTGTGAGGAAGTTTCAATTAAACTTCAAATTTGAAATTTAACTGTTAACAAACTTATTTTTCTGCACAGCGACCTTGTTCATAAAGATTCGTGTTTTGGATTTAAAGAGTTGAGAGAGAAGAGTTGAGAGAATTTGTAAAAATATTTTTTATAAAAATTGTAATAATTTATTTCCAAATGATTTGAATATTAGTAAATCTGCTCTGATAGCTGTTATTGTTGGTTATAATAGTTAATAATAATAGTTAATAATAATTTAATAATAATAGTTAATTTTGTGAAATATTATTGCATTAACAATATTATCTGGCAAAGTGTTCCATTTATTAACTACAGCTGTAGAAAAATTAATGTTGACATTATTGTTGATATTGACTTGTAAAAAAAATTAGTTCTGGGTGCTATGCTAAATTGTTGTGCCTGTTAATTAAGCTTAAAATGTTCATAAGCTGTTGTCTATAAGGTAGGTTAAATCACTTTGTATAAACATATACAATGTTGTGTAAGTCTCTTATACATCTCTCATTAAGAATACATAATAACTTTATCAATAGCATAATAACTTTATCATTTTAAATCAGATTAAAACTTAAAATGTTGACAAGCCATTGTATATAAGATAGGATAAACCACTTTGTATAAACGTATGCAATGTTGTGTCTCTTACACATCTCTCTTTAAGAATTCCTTATAATTTCATCAATAAAATAATAACTTTATCATTTTAAATCAGATTTAAAATGTGTGTATATTTTTTTTTAAATAGTTTTCATGAGCTTAGTATTGCCTACATTTATTTTGCAAATACCTGAATTGTTGTGAACTGTTAGCTTGTTAATAAATATAACAAAGAGCTTTAGTTCCAAAACAGTCTTGTGGAACTATTCTTGTTACATTTACCCAGTCAAAAAAACACTATTTAAGTATTACACATTGTTTATGGTTTATCATGCTTTGACATTTAGAAGAGCATTTATTACAGTTTACATGTGGTGATAGCAGCAATAATTATTCTTTGTTTGCTAATATATTTAGCTTTGAATTTCATAGGCTTCCATATTGTGTAAATAGGTGAAATTCATTTGTAAAAATTTTGGTTTAATAGTAGATTACCTCTGCTTGGTGGGAGTAGTTGATTGTTTAAATAAAATGTCATAAACTAAAGAGTTATACAGATTTTCTTTTAAGAAACTTTTCGTTTTTTTCATTACTTTTTAACATCTTCACTCCCAACAAGGCTGCAAGCAACCACTATCAAGTTGAGAGTTACTAGGAAAAAAAAATAGACTTTAAGGAAACAGTTGATAGAAGATGTAAAAAGTTGTAGTTTGTATGAGTAAGTAAAACATGAAGATGGAGAGAGTTCCAAAGGGTTAAAGCGTGGGAAAAAAAACTAGATATACAAATGTTTTTAGAGCATCCAGGCACAGATACAGTAATAGAATGAGACTTTTCTGAATGATATGTCAAGCAAGAATGAGTTTTAGTTTATGGAACTAGAGATGATAGCTCTTTAAAGTGTGATCATGATAGTATTTGTTGAACAAGAACAAAGAGATGAATCTTTATGACAATGGAGAAGCTCAAGTATGGGGAAAGTCCCGATTCAGGGAAATTTTAGCTGGATGCAGTTAACATCTTCCCAAGATAAGTATTTTTATCAAGACACTATCTCTAGCCTTTACTCACCCAAGAGTAAAGGTAGCAGAGAGTGAGGCAGGTAGTACTGGGTTAAGCTGACATGGAATAGTTAAAAGGAGTTATTTCCTGTAAGCAGTATTTTAAAACATGATACTTTGGAAATGCATTAGGGAAAACATTACACTTAACAAAATACTAGTGATTAGAATTAGTCTTTTACTCTTTTAGAATTAGTCTTTTTTTAGAGTCACTAGTTGGTTACTGAACTCATACTGCATCAGAGATTCAAACAGAACACAGAGATACATAAATAATTTATGGGTAAGTGAACACTGCCTTAGAGATTCAGACAGAACACAAACATACTTAAAGTAATTTACAGTTGAATGAACACCATGCCAGAGATTCAGATAAAACGCAAACATATAGATAGAAACTTGCCAATGAGTAAACACCGCACCAGAGGTTTAGACAGAAAACATACATGTATAGTAAATTACAGGTGAGCTAAGACAGTAACTAAGACATCTCTAACTATATAAAAGACACAAAAAAATATATTACTGTAGGCATGACAGATATTAGATAACATTAAGTCCTGTCATCTTGTATTTAATATATCAGTCTATAATATTATCTTTTTTCTTTTTTTAATTCCCACATGGGATTGCAGTAGAAGTAGAATGATCATGATGACCATACACCTGACCTGACACTTTCATGGTTTTAGATAGGAGCCCAATAAACCCAATAAACACAACCTTAATTAAAAGTCAAAATAATGTTATGACAAAATCTTTACTTTTGGTTGATTATCTATTCAGAATGAAATCCAGAACAAGGTTTAGAATATGAAAAAAAGTTTAAAAATTTTTATTAAAAAAGTTTATTAAATTTTTTTGTAATTAAAAAAATTACAAATTTGCATTTTTAAAACATTGAAACAAAATTATCAAAAATATTCAAAATGTATATACATATATTTACATAAAATGTATATAGTTTTATGTAAAGTTTGACAATCTATACATAATCCTTTCAATCAATACATTTATTAATTGATTAAAGGTTTACAATATTGACAATTATAAATCAATATTTTAAAAATTTAGTATACACTAATAGAGGAATAATAAAAAAATTGAAATGTACACTTTAATTCTTTTAATGTATATGTAAATTAAAATCTAATAAACGTTTACAATATTGACTTTGATATGTTAGTCAATATTGTAAACATTCAATCAACATTTAATAAACATACACATTAAAAGGTTTAAAATGTCCACCTCAATCATCAATTTTTGTTAAATAGTTGGTCGCTAAACATTTTATTTACTAAATATTGACCTATTCTAGATGACTCTGTGTTTACTGGGAATGTTCTATTGAGGTTATTGTACTTCATGTATAATAATTTGAACTTTTCAACTAATGTGGAACCTCATCAAAACAGTAACCGACTAACTGCAGAGTTATATTAATTTTTGTCCTATGTTGTAATACTAAAATATTTAAAATTATTAAAACATGTTTGTGAAATGCATTGTTTTTTTGATTTTTTTTTTTTACACAGGCGAAGAAAATTATGTAACGATAACTTAAAGCAGTCTAGAGTAATTCATAATACAAATAATGAAGATACAATGCATGAATATCAGGGTAAAGTTTATTTTTTTTTTTACCTTGGTTCCATTACAGTTTTTCCTTGTTTGGTAAATCAAATGTGTATTAGTTTAATGTGTTTTTTTTAAATAGAGATATCTTTGAAAAACGATACATCTTATATTACCTTACAAACTGTGCTGAAATGGCCACCAGTGTCTGTTAATGAATTTGTTGCTTATTACTTGAATGTAAAAAAAAATGATTACAAAGATCTTGTGACACAATATGAAAGTGTTTCTAAAAACAACATATATCCACACACTGAAGCTACAAAATATCCACATAAAAATAGATATGCAAACATTGTCCCATACGATCATTCACTAGTCAAATTGGTTCCAGATTTCACTAATTATGAAAATACTTATATAAATGCAAATTATATACCCTCCTACTCCAAAAAAGTAACTTACATTGCAACCCAGGCTCCTAAGAATGAAACTATTGATGACTTTTGGCGAATGATTTTTCATGAAAAGCCTAAAGCTGTTATTATGCTTACTAATCTGATTGAAAATGATAAAATAAAATCTGCTCAATATTGGCCAGAAAGTGATAAAGAGTATTGCGGTCTTAATGTTTGTATTACAAAAACAGAAAACTTTGCTGATTATATTATTCGTTATATTTCTTTAAATTTCAAAGAAGTGAATCATCATTTTATTCATATGCAGTTTACATCTTGGCTTGATAATGGATGTCCTGAGTATCCAACAATGTTACTAAACTTTTGCCATCGATTTCGATGTTTAGTTCCATATTCAGATAAATCTCTTACTGTTGTGCACTGCAGTGGTGGAGTTGGTCGCACAGGTGTTTTCATTTTACTTGATGAAATGTTGCAGTTAATCAAATCGGAACAAAAAGTTGATATTTTCAATTATTTTGACACTATTCGTCAAAACAGAATGCAAATGGTTCAATCAAAAGAGCAATACATATTTGTTTATGATGCAATTTATGAAGCAGTAACATGTGGTCAAACTTGTATTTCAATTTCTAATTTCCAAACAATTGTTAACAATCTGCTTAAAAAAGACTTTTCCTCTGGAAAAAAACTCATAGAAGATGAATTTAAAATGCTTCAAAATTTTTCTCTAGTTAAAGGCAGCAATGAGATGGCAATAAAGGATAAAAATTTACAAAGAAATAAATGCCCTCAAATTATACCTGGTAAGTTATAGATTTTTTTTGGTTTTTTTTTTTTGGTTTTTTTATTTCTTAGATTTTTACAGTTAATAAGCAAAAACATAATGGCTAGTAAATGTCAGCTCTGTTTTGATATATTAAACTTAATGGGGTACATGATTTTACTCTTAATAGTTTTTTAAATTACTATTAAATTATTATTAAATTACTAGCTATTATGTTTTTTCTTTTTTTTTTTTTTTTTGTAATAGTAATTTTTGTAATAGTATTACAAAATATTGAAAAAGATGTAATAGTATTACATCTGAAGGTTGTCTAAGGAAACACGATATGTGTATTTATATACATAATTATACGCTAAATAAGAAAGTTTGCTTTTAAGTTGAGGTTCCAAATCACTATTTCTAAATTGAGTATTGAGAAACTGTGCAATGCTATCAAACTGAGAAAAAAACGAAGTTTTCTAGTTTAAAAAAAAAAAATTTAGTTTTGTTCCCTATTGTTATAAAATTAGTCTTATACGTTGTTTAATTGATAGAACGTTTAAAATCAACGACACATGGCTAGGACTTGATAAGAACATAAAAAATCTATCTAATGTTTTAAAAAATAAGCAATATCCACCTAAAATAATTGACACTGAAATTAGACTATTTGTTGATAAAAGTTAAATCCATCTGTGATAAATAGAATTGATAACCCTAATATAAGATATTATAAACTTCCATTTATAGGATTTTACTCAAATTTTACTAAATCTAAAGTTAATAAAATCATTAAAAAATATTGTAAAGATATCTTAATTAATTTAATTTTCACTACCAACAAATTACAAAACAGTTTATGTATAAAAGATCCATTTCCTATGCTGCTCAAATCCAATGTTGTTTACAAATTTTCTTGGGCTGGATGTAATGCCAGGTATATTAGAGAAACCTCCAGACACTTAACAATAAGGATTCATGAGCATCTTCCAAGTGACAAACAATCTAATGCTTATAAACATTTAATTTTATCTGTTGATTGTAAAAATCTAAGTAACTGTAGTTGTTTAAAAATTTTGGATACTGCTCCTAAGAAAAGCAAATTGAAAATTAAAGAAGTACTCCATATTAAATGGGAAAACCCATCTTTAAATTAACAAACTGTTCATTATAATATAAATTTGTCAATTTTTTAATTATTCAAAATTATAATAAAGAGGAAACTAATTAAATTTATTGTTTTTTAAAAAATCACAAAAACGCAAATTAAAATGCCACAATGTTTTATAAACAAACATTCTGAATGTTTTTATTTTATTTTTTCACTGTAAAACATGAGTGGAGAGTTGCTACATTGACTATCTTATACCCTGAATAGCAATGGAGTGCTGCTCTATTGACTATCTTATAGCCTGACGCGCAACAGAGTGCTGCTTCCTCTACTGAAAAACAACAACAAGAGTATATATATATATATATATATATATATATATATATATATATATATATATATATATATATATATATATATATATATATATATATATATATATATATTATATATATATAGGGTGTTAGCCAGGAAAAAAATTTATACAGGGTTTTGTTGATATTGGGAATTTAGAAGTGGAGAATAAAAAATTCAAAATAAATTTAAAAAAAAAGGTCATTGCATTTTGACATATAAATGTAAACCATGGTGGTTTCCTAACTCTATATATACAAATTAATTTATAATGCATAAATATCTTTAAACTGTTTGTTTTTTTTGACAATTGTTTGTAACTAAACTTGAATGAATGAATTTAATACTTGGATCTATTTTATTGCGTACATTGCTTTTAAATACAGTTTTAAAAAGTTCAAACAATTATTTTTTCTTCTTTTATATTTATTTTCATTTTTAAATTATGTATGTAAAAAAATTGATAATAAATTTGTAATGAAAAATATTAATTTGTCATTAAATAACTTCCTATGTGTAAATTCTAAATAAATTTATAGTGATTTAAAATTGCATTAAATTAATTAATTGCATTGTTATAAGAAGTTTAATAATTTTGTTTTGTTTTTAAACATGACAATTGAATTTTGTCTCAACCAATATAACCAATATAAAACATATAAAACCAAAATAATCAATTTTTTTATCACTAATATACAAATATAACCATCAGTAAAAACACTAATATACAAATAAAACCAACTTTGTTCCACAAAGTATCTTAAAGATGAAATATAGTTTTTGTAAATATGTTTGCAGAAAATAGACACAATAGAATAAAGTTTAAAACAACTGCTAAGAACTATATTCAAAAAAGAAACAACCTTTCTAAAATAATCTTTAATAAAGCAGAAACAAGTAAAAATATAGTTAAGCTTCTATGGCTCTATGAATAGTTCCATAATTTAGAAAAGAACTTAAACCTTACAATGTTGGAATAATTTTTACTACACCACCTATATTAAAATAACAACTTATGCAACAGCAAGTAAAAATTAATTCCCAATACCAATCCCAGTGTCTACAAACTCACATGCTTTTGTGGCAGTATATACATCAGCGAAACAAAAAAGAAACTTTTAACAAGATGCATTGGTTATAAAAAAAACTTAGCATTACATTCTCTACATGGTAGAGAATGTAATGCTAAGTTAAATTGGTCACATCATAAAACTCTAGTATTAAAATCACAGTGTGATGAATGTAAAGTTAGAGAATCACTTGAAAGTAACTACACTTCAACACACCAGGAAATAAAATATGCTCCTATATTTCCAAACCAAGACATGGTAACATGTAACCCAGTACAACCTGCTTCATGTCCAACTGCCTTGTATGATGCGCTTTTTTAGGTAAAGGCTAGGAAAAGTCAACTCTGACTTAAAACACCCCTGCCTTGGGGCTCTTGCTTTAGTAAATGCTAGAGATAGTGTCTCGATAGATATACTCATCTTGGGGAGGCGTTAGGTGCAACCGGCTACTATCTTGTGAAAGGCCTCCTAGGCAAAGACTTAAGGGGTAAACAGATTCTATATGTTGACCAGCCTCCTACCCCTTATTCAGCCTTGCACTCTATCTTTTAGGCTGGCACAGATGTATTTATAATATAGTTTCCAGTTTAGGATGTGGAATGCTGGATCTTCTTGACTTAATGCATGGGTTTTGTTTGTGTATCTGTTTTTATGACTAGGCTACTTGTTATTTTTTCTCCCAATGAGGGTACAGTTCTAAAACTCAGTTTTATGGTTCTGAGGCCAACTGGTAGTCAAATTTCCTAAACTCTGTGGTAGCTCTCAGAAAGGCTAATTCCATCAACAGTTGTAAAATATCAGAGCACTAATATTGTCATGCTGCACATGGATGGTGTCCCAGTTTGTACTTTTGGTGTGTATTGTCGAAGCTGCATTTGGAGCCCTTTGTTACAATTTTATTAATAGTATTGAGGCAATTGATTGGACTATTAAAAAGTGTATTTAGTACTATCTGTGCTTAGAGTCAAGTTTTTTAACAAATTTAAAAATTATAAAAGCACCAAAAACTATAAAGCACAAAAAAACATGGTCATCACTAAATTCTCTAATCCTATCATTCACTAATATTTGTGGTCTTCAAAGTAACTTTTCTTCTGTCTTATCTCTTGCAAAGTTTACCAGACCTACTTGCTCTTTGTGAGACAAATTTGAGTTCAACTGTCTCATCTTGTAATCATAGTGTTGACAATTAACTTCCCTTAAAGACGCAATGACATTTGTAGAGTACATTCACAAGAAATCACTTATTTGTTGGAAAACTAGGTTTGAATCCACAGACTATTCATTTATGTGCTTTCATTTTGTTCTACTTTACTCTATCGTGTTTTTCTTTGTTCTATATTGCTTTTCTTTATCTCAAGACTGCACTCTTTTTGATGTTATTTCTAATCAAATTGACTAAGGTCTTTTTCTTTATCCTTCATTATTGATGTTAGTGACTTTAATGCTCATCACACTGAATGGCTTGCGTCCAGTGTCAGTGACTTTTTTTAACAAAGTGTGAAGGTGTCACAGCCCATTACTTTTGCATTTCTTAATCTCTAACTCATATAGTCAACTTTCCAACTCGCTTTCCAGACAATCTGAATCTTTTACCTTCTCTACTTAAATTATGTCTCGTTTCTGATCCTTGGTCAGTTTCTCCACATTCAGCCTTAGATGCTTCTAGTTACGGTTTAATCTCTCTGACACTATTATCTCATTGTTCTTCATTATCAGAATCCCTCTATCATTGTATCTCTTACAACTTCCTTAAAGCTCTTAATAGGAATCTTAAATCTCTTAATAGGAATCTCTCTTGGGACTCTTGTTGTGATTTTCTTTGTGATAACACTTGAGTAGAAATTTAAGACCAAAAAGCTGAAGTAATAATTTTTTTAGTTAAAAATAAATTATTACTTGTTTGGTCAAAGCAAGTTGGCAACATTCTTGATAATCATCTCCTAATATTTTTTGATACTTCGGTTTACCCAAAGTATTAAAAAATATTAGGAGATGATTATCAAGAATGTTGCCAACTTGCTTTGCAATTACTGAATGCAAAACTAATATATATTCAGTATAAAAACCTGGGGCTTTCTATCATACTAGATGGATGTGTACATTTTGTACACCAAAAATGTTTTGATTTTTGCTTTTGTCAAAAAATGGGTAGGAAAGGGGGAGAGGGGTTGGTAGCATGAGGAGGCAGGGGGTTTGGATGAAATTTCTTTTGAAAAATTTTTTATTTGGTTTTGGATCGTCCATATGGTACATACGCTCAGATGGGGAAAGGGGGTCTACAAATGGCGTATATGAGATTGGAGGCAAGGCAAAATATCATTAAATGTTGAGTAGGGAATTAAAAAGCGTAGGTATTTTTAGAGAGATGGAGGGTGCTCAAAAATGCATAAAGCAAAATGCAGGGAAGGGGGATTTGAAATAAAAGCGTACATAATTTATGGACAATCCATTAGTATAAAAAAATATATATAAAACTATTTAAAAATATAAACATATTTAAATATAATAATAGAAGAATCTAAGAAGTTTATTTGAGAGTATTTTAGGGAAAACTTTTTAAAAAAAGATTTTATATATGAATTTTTTTGAAAAATAACATATCATTAGATTTTATTAAACTAAACTAAACAAGAAAATTGTTTAAAATGTGAACATAGTTTTTTATCAAAAGTGTTTTACTCCATTTTTGTCATACTTAAAAAATACTTAAAAAAAGGTGGCCAGGAATGAAAAATAAAAATTTTCTTTTTTTTTTTTTTTTTTTTTTTGATTTGAATAGACAGAAATGCATATGAAATTGATTGAAAATCGTTTACTTCATTATACATATAAGTATATATAAGTTTAATACAAAAAAAAGGGATTAATTCATATTTAAGTATCTTTGATATAGCCACTAACCCATTGGAAAGTTAAATATTAAGTTTGCTTATTTTTTTTTGAAAAAATTTTTTAAATACACATAATTAAATTCACTTTGTTTAGATTTTTTTTTTGACAATTTAAATTGTGTTTACTCATGATTAAATTCAAAAAGTCAAGAGTGAGGAGACTTTCAACTATTGAAGATTCAGCATTCATTATCCTAATCATATGTAACACTGATTTACATCTATGCAAACCTATTAGATAAAGAAGATGTGTGAGGTTGATAGCATATTAAAGCATGTTACTGAAATAAGTTAATGGAAAAATTATTGTATCATATCACTCAAACCTATTATTGGAATTTATTCTTGTAACAAATTTATTCTTGTACTCAAACATGTTACTGAATCATTGCTAGGACAAATTTTTGAAATATAAAATGGGAACCAGTTACAGCAGTTCATTTTTAAAACAAATTTCTGCACATACAGTGGGGTGCAGAATTATAACCTCACCTGTATAGAAACCTTAAAACTATCTTGTTTATAGAAACCTTAAAACTATCTTTCAAAGTTTGTTGATCAAAATCTATTTGTAGATAATTTTTTGAAATAAGCAAAATAATTTACATGAATCTATTTATACTTTAATTAACTCAAATTATAAAACCGTTTAAAACTGTGGCGCACAATTATAACCTTGTTATCTAAATTGCATTAAAAGTCAGGCTTTCATATATATGCAAAAAAAATGCACATCTGCAGCACTAACTGAAGCACACAAATGCATTTGTCTTTAATGGGCCAAGGACCACATGACTTGGGAAAAAAGAATGGCAAAAAATTGTGTAGTCTCATGAAAAAAAATTCAATCTAGATGGTCCAAATGGTTTTAATTACTACTAGTATGACATTAAAAAGAGAAAATATTTTTAAATAGAAGGGCTATGGAAGACAGAGAAGTAATGATTTGGGTTATTTGGGTTCGTTCTGTTATTTTTAAAAAACTTTTGCTTTATTACTACTTTATTAACTGCTGCTACTTTATTAATATATTACTTATCTCCTGATTTTCATATTATTACTGTTTACAGAAACTTTCATGTTATATTATCTTGCATTCATTACTCAGCTTTGTTTTAATTTTCACATGCACTTTTCATCTTTATTATTATTTAGAGAATATTTTTATATCCTTTATTTAATGTTTTACATATATGTCGCTTACATTTTTAAGGTTTTTGTGCAACGTTCTTTTTCGCTATCATTTATTATTCTATTATTATTATGATTTTGGGTTTCGCGGGTTACTCATTTTCCTACACTTTTGATTGGTTATCATATTTCGAATGAGGTATCTATGACAGCGTTAGAGTTTATTTAAGGGTATTGTTTTGTTTATTAAAAAAAATTTTAATGAGGTATACTGCTTTCTGATTATCTTGGGCTTGTTTATGCTAATAATACCTATTTGGTTTTATTTCTTAAAATAAATTGATTAATATTTTTATGTTTCTATTAGAATTTTAATTTATTTTGTTTTCATGTTTTCTTTTGGTGGTACGGTAAGTGTTTTTATTTAGTTATTTTTATTTTTGTTTGTTCAGTAAATCTATACTTTTTATATCATATCATCAAAAAAAATATTGGTGCTTTACAAATTTGGGGTTGGTTGGGTTTTGGCTATTTGTAGTGATTATGCATATTAAATATGTAGAAATTTGTTGAATGGTCGTTTGAATGATATTTTGCAAAAATTTGGTAACACTATTTTTATTTTCCAGCAAGGTCCAATTCATAGAGCAAAGTCAAATATCTCATGGTTTACCAGCAAGAAAATTCAATTATTAGAATGGCAAACGCTCTCACCTGATTTAATTCCCATTGAAATATGGGCATTTTTGGGCATTGAAATATGGGGCATCATCATCATATGGGGCATCTTAGCAAGATTTATGTAGAAGTAAAACAATATTTGAATGTTGATGAATTAAAAAAATTGTTCACGTTTGGAAGAACATATCTCTTGAAGATCTTAGAAAACATTTGGAAAGTATGCCAAATTGAATATTTGAAGTTATTCAAAATGGCAGCAATAAAACAAAATAATAAATAATTCAAGTTGCAATATAAAACATTATGGAATTTTGTAGAGTAAAATTGATATTTCTAATAAGGTTATAATTTTGCACCATCATTTTTCTAAAATTTCCAAATCAATTAACAAAATGAAACCAGACTCTGTTACAAATGAATTATCAATCAAGTAAGATATTAAGCAATTGAATAATTTAAAAATAATTATTTAATTATTTGTGAGATCTTGAATTTTTGTCAAATTAAACGTCAAAAAATATAATTAAAAAAAATCAAATAATGTAAAAAATTCTTATTTAAAGCCATAGTTTTCTAAAATTGTTGTTGAGGTAATTTGTACTTTATTTAAGATATTATTGTATTATTAATCTTATGTCAACAGGCTGCCTTGAAAACTTGGAAAGTTAATCTTATCTAAATTAATCTTATAATTTCAAAATTCATATTTTGATAAACAGCTAAGAATTTCTGACCTTCAAAAAATTTTGCAAAAGATTGTGAATCGGAAAATAAAATAAATTAATAAATTAAAAAATTAAATAAGTGCAATTCTGTTGTACCTGTTCTCTAAACCTGCAATTCTGTTCTCTAAACCTGCAATTCTATTCTCTAAACCTGCAATTCTGTTCTCTAAACCTGTAATCTAAATCTAAAATTACTTAAAAAATTATACTTATCTACATTTCAAAAATCTATTGTGTGGATCATAAAAAGCTTATCAAAAATAAGAGTTTTGAACAAAATTTGGTATAAACTTTTTTATGAGTTTTAACTGTATGATGCATTATTATCAGGATAATGCACCCTGATTCAATATAACAAATATATATATATATATATATATATATATATATATATATATATATATATATATATATATATATATATATATATATATATATATATATATATATATATATATATATATATATATATATTATATTATGTTATATTTTTTCAGATTTTTGAGACTTTGATTTATGTATTTAATATTTATTTAATAGGAGGAAATGTGCTGGTAGCAAGTGAACTTTACCCTAATGCTGTTTTTGTTGACAGTTATAAAAGAAAGAAAGCTTTTATAGCAACCCAGTGTCCACTTCAATCTACTGTCACAGAGTTTTGGTATATTCTAAAGAAACTCAATGTTTCAACTATTGTCTACCTTACCTCTCGACATGAAAAAAAAAAAAAATCACATTATAAATTTTATCCATCAGATAGTGATTTGAAACTTAATGGTGTCACTGTAAAGTTGCTAGCTGAGGAAAAGTTAGAATTTGTAATTAAAAGAAACTTGTCTGTGTCTGTTGAGGTATCGTTTTGAGGCAGCTACTTATAAAAATTTTCTGAGAAAATAACAGTATCAACAAAATATTTTTTCTTAATTATCTTTTTTTAAAACAGTGTAAGTAATATATACACCAATAACCTACATTCTTAATTATATGCATATTTAATGTCCATTCTCAATTATATGTAATTGAGAATGGACATATATATATATATATATATATATATATATATATATATATATATATATATATATATATATATATATATATATATATATATATATATATATATATATATATATATATATATATATATATATATATATGTATATGACCTGCATTCTTATCTACTAATTGTCTTTTTAATTAGTTGTAAAATCTTTAAAAATAGAAGTAATAATTTAGAGTGAAACCATCATGTGCATGCTTGAGTTTAGTTTTTGGACGGATAATTGTTTACCAAGTAATGACCTAATTTTACAGTTGATTACTGAAGTATCTAAATCACAACAATATTTAAGAAATGATATTATTGCAGTTGTTTGCAAGTAATTTTTTGTTATTAAATATTTCAATTTTTAATAGATTGAATTTGAAATATATACATGAAATATATATATATATATATATATATATATATATATATATATATATATATATATATATATATACATAGGTATATATATACATATATATATATATATACATAGGTATATATATACATATATATATATATACATAGGTATATATAAATATATATATATGTATATATATATATATATATATATATATATATATATATATATATATACATATATATATATATATACATATATATATATACATATATATATATACATATATATATATACATATATATACATATATATATATATATATATATATATATATATATATATATTATATATATATATATATATATATATATATATATATATATATATATATTTAAACAATTTAAAAAAGTATTTTACAAAAAGAGTGCTTAATGTTCTTAAAAGAACAGACCAATTACAAATTAGTAGAAAATCACTTAGCAAAATTTTTTCTCACCTATACCTATGTGTATATATATTATATACATATATATACCTATGTGTATATATATACATATATATATATATATATATATATATATATATATATATATATATATATATATATATATATATATATATATATATATACATGTATATACCTATGTATATATACATATGTATATATACATATAAGTATATATAAGTAAAAGAAAATATATGTTTATATATACATATGTTATATACATATATATATATATATATATATATATATATATATATATATATATATATATATATATATATATATATATATATATATATATATATATATATATATAAGTAAAAGAAAAACTTGTCCAACACTTTCTTCTACTGGCATTTTCTCCTTCAACAGGATCATCAGGAAGTAAAAGTTGACAGGCTTCCGGATAATGCTGTTGAAATAGAAACTGCCAATGAAGTAAAAGTTAGATGTGTTTGTTTACTAACTTATTACAGCTCTATTCTTTAAGAACATTGAACAATCTTTTTGTAGAATACACAAAGATATTTGACTAACATAATGCAAGCACTTAAAAGATATATAAATAAAATATACCAATTATTCAAATTTGCATAAATGCGTATGGATAAAATTCAAACAATTTTACTATTGTTTTTTTTTTATTTCTAATTTCTTTAATTGGATAGTTATTATGTAGCTTTTGAGCATTTTATGTTCTCTAGTTTGCTTTTACATCTAAACACTCTAAATTCAAAATTAATATAAAATTATAAACTTAAATGACAATTCTACGAGTATGAAAAGCTACTGTATATATTTAATAAAAGTTGGATTAAGCTTAATTAAAGCGAATGATTCTTATTTAGCATTATGTTAGATGATGTTAAATCTAAGCTTGAGGTTCTCTTTCTTTTTACAGGTGTCAAGAAGATCTTCAAGACACTTGATTGTTTGTTCTGTACACTAATTTGTTCTGGGAATTTCCAAACTTGATGGTTCATGGTTGAAAACCTTTTCTTTGTGTTTTCAACGCTTTTTCATGGCTGTGCAAGCTGGTACATAGCTTCCAATAATTATCTGCATTATTTAGTCAGTAAACCGCCCATCTGTTAGAGATTATTTATAAAATGTCAAGTAATGAGCCTCTTCTCTCGGGTAGAAATATGAATGCCAAATAAGATTGCATTGTTCAGGACTTCCATTTTTTTTATTTAATTTAGGTATTTCCTAAAACTTCACTTTAGGAAATATTCCAGATTCTTCGAAAAAGCGGAATACCCAAGTTAATACCACTTCTTTACCATTTGTAAAAATCTTCCTGAGATGTTCATAGTTCTTTACAAATTCAGGAACAAACAGATATAAAATATTTGGCAGCATGTTGTTTCCTCCAAGTTCTTTATCCATTACTATGCATAAGGCTTGGTCAAAAACATGATGTTAACAGCTTTGTGCTGCAATTTTCAATCGAAACCATTACTCCCATATCTATCAGCATAAGAATTCTCCAGAAAACAGACGTCTGTTTACTATTGCTGTAAACCATTATAAAAAGGTTTTGACTAAAGTCAAAGCCCGTTATTGTTAGGTCTCAAAATCTTGTATTTTATCTTGAAAATTAAGCTCCTGAGACTTCTGGAGAATTTTAAATATTGTTTATGATAAGGGCTAATCTGTTATTCTGCCTCTCTTGCATGGTTCAGATTTTGTTACCTCATCTAAAGACAAAACTGAATTCTTTGCTAAGAACTTTTTATCAATCTTATCTCTTGATTCCACTAATCACATCCTACCTGATATAACTGATAACAGGTTGATCCATTGCTTGACATTTACTTCAGCTTCTGTATCTAAAGTAATTTTCTGTACAGACTCTTCTACAGCTTGTGGTCCAGATAACATATTGGTTTTAATCTTGCAAAAGTGTCCTTTGGAGCAGTTGTCTATACTTTCAAAACTATTTAACAAGTGCTTATCTGATTATCGTTTTTCAGCCTGCTGGAAAGCAGCATCTGTTATCCCTGTTTTCAAAAATTCTGAAGAGCAATCTGATTTATTTAACTATCATCCCATTAGTCTTCTTCCTATCATAGGCAAGGTTTCTGATTCTTTAATTAGCAAACACTCAATCTCTTATCTTGAATCTAATAACTTAATTTCTGATCATTAATTTTGGTTTTGATCTTTATGTTCTACTGTTGATTTGTTGACGGTTATAACTAATAGGTTTAATTAAGCATTAGATAGATGTGGAGAGGTTAAGGCAATTGCTCTTTACATTTCTAAAGTCTTTGTTAAAATATTGTATGCTAGTCTTCTCTATGAGCTGTCTTCTAACAGTGTATTAGGTAACATCTTTAAGATTATTGAATCCTTTCTTACCAATTGTAGTATAGTCTTCCTCAATAGTCAGCACTATTCTTTATTTCTCGTAACTTCAGGGATTTCTCATAGTTCTCTCCTTGGCCTTATACTTTTCTGAATTTACACTATTGATCTCCCAGAAATTCTCACATCTAAGGTGGCATTGTTTCCTGATGATAGTACTATTTATTTTTGTTTTGATAAGAAGCCTACACTGATTGCTTGGAGCAGACATTTAAGCTCAAAAAGGATTTCAAAAGGATTTCTGCTACAGACTGGGAATTTCCGTGGCTGGTGAACTTTAACTCAGATAAAAAGCAATTTTTTTCAGCTAATTTTTATTGCAACAATCTAGATCTTTTTATATTTATGCACTGTAATGTACTTAATGAGTCATCTACCCTTCATCTTCTTGGACTAACTCTTAAATCTGATCTTTTTTGGAAACCATATATCCAGCCCTCTAAATTAGTGTCAGCATTTGGCAATGCCAACCTAACTGCTGACCTTAAAGTGTTTGAGGTTGGCAAAAAATTGCCAACCTTATTACTATGTTTTATGGTTATGGTTAGACCTTTTAATTAAATTTTTTTGCCAACCTAATGCCGTCTTCTAAAATATTAAGAATTTCTAATTCCAAGGGTTAATATATCATATTCATTGCAAAATTAGCATATATTATGTTTGCATCTCTTTATCGGGCTCGCCACTTTCTCACTCTGTATTCTATTTATTATCTCAAATCTGTCTTTGTATGGAATATTGTTGCCATATCTGGAGCGGATCTTTGAATGATGCTCTTTTGAACTATGCAATTTTGTCCAAGATGCAAAATTGTATTGTAAACATAATTGGAACTGCTCTTGCAGCCAACCTCTAGCTGTTATCACATCATGGTAATGATGTGATATTAGTTAGTTAGCTTCTCTTTCTGTTTTTTATAAATACTGCATTGGGCACTGCTCTAAAGAGCTAGCATCTGTTTCAACACTAACACTTGATATTCTTGGTGACATTTACCATCAAGGTGCAGTGACTAGCTTTCTAAATATAGTGTTGTTTTTTTATTTCTCCTTGAAATTTTAAGAGCTATTTCTATCTAGTTTAAGAGCTTCTTTAATAGTAGATCTGAATATAGTGTGAAAGTTTCTGAATGATGAAATCCCAGAGATAATCTTGGATCAATAAATCTTCTAGATATAATCTGGGATCAACAAATCAAATAATCTTGAGACAACTGTTAACAAATGGTTGCTGCTTTGCTGTTTGATAACTTTTAAGATGTTAGTAATTTTTAGTGGTTAGTGGTTTTGCTTTTGCTTTAGTTCTTGCTTGTATGTGTGGACTGTTTTTCGGGTTCATTAGACTCTTGATATTCTGTCTCAGATTTGGATTTCGAAGTTGACGTTGTTGCTGTTGCCATTACTGTTGTTGATAAAGGCTTCAAGGCCATTTTTCTTTTTTTGAATGGATATATAGTTTTTGAACTAGCAACTTTTCCAGTTGTCAAGTTCCAGTCAACCTGTCCTTTACTTTCAATTAAAAGATGATACAATCTTTTGTCCTCACTGCAGATCTGTTTATCATCTTTTGTCAAAAAACTCATTCAATAGATAGTATTTTTTGCTTTGCACATTTATTATACATCTTTTGCACTTGATTCAGTTTTGCCTGTAGGACTTGAATTAATAAATGTGGTAAATTTTTTTTTTTTTTTGCCATAAAATTGCTTTATGTGTTCTCGTCTCTCTTTAATGGATTCTCTAAGGAACAATCAATGACCAACAATTTGGATATCAAGTGGTATCCTGATGTTATCCTTCTGAATTACATTGAAATCTCAGTTGAGAACTAATTTTATTTGTTTGCTAAGTAAATTTTAGTTTCAATATTTAAAAAAAATTTTTTAAGTTGAGTAATCTTGTTTAAAAACACTTCATTTTAAATTTTTAAAATAATCAATAAATTTTTCGTTGAAAAACAACATCAAATCAAATTTAGCATTGTTGTTTTAAAAAGCTAATATAATTACTCTAATTTGTAATTTAAAATTTAAATTTTAAATACTTATAATTAAATTCATTTTAAAGTTAAATGTTTTAAATTTTAAAGTTTTATTTGTTAAATGTTGAATTGTAAGAAAGGTTTTTTTATCTATGATCATTGCTTTTACGAGTACTATTTTTACATTGTTATATTTGATTGAATTTTGTTTTGCAATTTCTGAAGTAGATTAAAATAAATTATATTAATAGACATATATAAAACTTTTAAAAAAATGTTATTCATTTCACTAAAATTTATACTCTAATACATTGTGTAAGTATTAATGGTTCACAAAAATGCAATACTCCTATTACATAAATGAAGAGTGAAAAAAAGTATTGTGAGTTGTCATTAATGGGTTCAAAGACTTTTATACTGGTTATTGAGAAGTATGACTCTTATTCATGTAAATCCTAATGCAAATATTAGTACATATTAGTATTAGTAATTCAGCAAATCAGCAAAAATCTATTTTGGCTACAGTAAACCCAGGTTTACTTTTTATAACTGCCAAATCTAATATTAGAAAAGGTAAATCGTTATCAATATCAGATGCAAACACAGCAATGCAAGCACCAAAAAAAATTTTGATGCTAATTTGAACAAGCTCTTCAATATTTTTTTCGTGTTTCTGTTTATTAGATTTCTATCCTTATAGTGACAGAAAAGTATATTGCAATAAAGAAAATTGCATTGAAAAACATATTGTATGCCTTTGCCCTCAATATACTAAAGTACCTCTTGAAGACAGAGCGTGTCTTCATGATTAGAGGGAAAAAATTGGTCCAAAGGGTGCATATCAACTTTTATCCATTGATAGAGTAGCTGTCAAGAAAAGCAAAAGGATCGATAAAATTGACAACAAATATCTCATTTGGTAAAAGTAAATTAAAAGAAAAAAATGTTTTGTTTTGCAATTTATTTACTTTTAGCTATGTGTATACTAAAAGTTTAAGAGTCTGTGTGGGGGGAGGGAGGAGGTAGGGCCTCCATACTTGTTATATTTAGAGGGGTGAGTGTCCATTGTGGGCAGGTAAAGTAGAGCATAAGAGTTTAGTTTTGTTATTTTTCTATTAGATATTGTTCAATACAGTTAAATATACTTATAAATAAAAATATACACCCAAAGTTAAAAATTACCTTTACCACTTCTAATCCAGTAAGCTAAAATTAATATTTTTCAGAGCTATGGTCCCTCAGAATTTTGTTTTAGTTTGATTTTCTGAACACCCTAATATATATATATATATATATATACATATATATATATATATATATATATATATATATATATATATATATATATATATATATATATATATATATATATATATATATATATATATATATATATATATATATATATATATACATATACATATATATATATATATATATATATATATATATATATATATATATATATATATATATATATATATATATATATATATATATATACTTATATATATATATATATATATATATATATATATATATATATATATATATATATATATATATATATATATATATATATATATATATATATATATATATATATATATATATATATATATATATATATATATATATTAGGAATATATATACAAATTTTATATATATAATTTTCTTTGTAAAGTTATATTACTTTAGCAACGTATTATATCGTTCGGGTATTTTTATTTCATGCTTTAATGCAATTGAGCAGTTGCATATCGAAGGACTAGTTGATATATTTCAGGTGGTGCGACGAGCTCAGTTATCACACCCTAGTTTTGTTCAGACTTTGGTAAGTCTGTGTCATTTAATTAAAAAAAAGATTATTACTTTAGAAATAATTTATCTTTTTTTATTTTTAAAAATAATTTACTTGCAAAAAAATTTCTATTTTAGCCTCAATATGAGTTTGTTTACAAGTTGATAAAACATTATTTGGAAACATTTTCCGATTATTCCAATTTGACATAAAAACGTCTTAAATGTTTTTTATACAAAAAGTAGTTGTTGCTTTTTTTTTCAGTTTTTTTCTATTTTATTAGTTTTTTAGATTTTTAACGCTTTTTTAGTTTTATAGTTTTTTAGTTACATAGTAAATTTTATAATTTTTTATGCTTTAGTTATTTTACTGTTAATTTTCATACCTAAGAAAATTTAATTTTTATGCCTTTTTTTTTTTTTTTTTTTGTTGAAAATACTTTTTAAGATAAAAAAAACTTTAATAAATGTTACAGATGATTATAATAAATATCCATATATATTATATAGTTAATATAATATGTTCATATTTTAAAGTGATTTTATTGTTTTTTATAATTATTTTCTCATAATATAAAATTATGTTTTTTTTTTGGTTAGAATTTTTATATAAGAAAATAAATTTTTAATAAAGTTTAAAATTACATTTTAAAACTATAACACAATCTTTTTTCTCTTTGATATTAAATAAAGTTAAGTTTACGTACAGAAAAAAACATCGTTTGTTTCTTAAAAATTTTATCGGAAAACGCACTAAATTATTTTATGCAAGTGTTGACTAATTAAAACCAACCTTTTTAGAAAAGAATATCGAACTTTTATTTGTGTTTTTTTAAAAACGACATTTGTTAAAAAGTTATTTACTTAAAAATAATATGATTTTGTTTTAGGGTGGGTTTTACAGGTAATTTGTAGAATATCTCCCAGCCACTCTGCACAACATTAAAGTTATTTTTTTGTATTTAAGTTGATATAGATAAAAGATGATTTATGTTGATATATTTAGCTATTATCTAGTATCTGAATAGGTTGATATATCTATCTATATAAGTTTTATTTTGATAGCATTCGAAAAAAGTTTAAAGTAGTCATTTTTTTCCAATTTTATTTTAAAAAGTATTATTCATTCACTTACATCAACAGTATACTTATCAGAATGTTTTCTTATTTTGTAAATAACGCTGTAAGTTACATTTATAACATCATGTGTAGGAGAAAGGTACCTATGATGGCATACCGGTCATATTTCCATAAAAATTGGTTTTAGTGAAAAAGTGATTAGGCCTACATGACTATACTGACTTTACATTAGTTTTAGTGAAAATACGTCCCTTGAGCACAAATATTGTTTTTTTAATCAACAAAAATCGATTTTGGAATGTGCTGTTGTAATTTTATTCCCTTCATATATTAATATAAACTGTGCAGAAAGAGAATTTTCAAGCATTTTAGGTTTTTCTAACTAGTCTAGAAAAACTAGTTAGAAAAACCTTTTTTTTTTTAATAAGAAAAACTTATTTTTAAGTAACGTAAAGAAAAAACGATGCTCCAAATGTTTGTTTGTTTTTTTGGTCCAAAAAATACATAAATCGCAATATATCCTATGCGCATGCGTGAAACTTTACAATGTTTTGTAGCATGAAATGGTAAATTAGGATGGTTCCAAGTAATTTCTGGCTTTTCTGAGAGAAGATTTTAAGGTTAAATGAAATCATCAAGTCACCCTTGATCTTAACCAGCCCCATCGTCCCATATGCCATTATAGGAACAGTTTTTTTTTAATTTCTTGAGCAAACATTTGATTTTACATTCAAATTTTTCGATAAATATTTATAGGTAAAAACTTTATATTTAAAATGACATTTCATCCTGTTACAAAATATTTCCGTGACAAGAGTTTCTTATAAAATATTGCCGAACTCTCAACAACTCGCGTTTGCGTTTGGTGTTCATTTATGAAATTTATAGAGTATAATTTTTTTTGGTTTATTAAGGAGTTTATAAAGTGTGGAAACTGTAAGATTTTTATATTTATACTTATCTTTTCGTTTTGCAATGGAGCTTTTTTAAAGTCAAAATTGTGTCCTTCTTTTAAGATTTTATTTTTCCATTCAATCGGCAGAGCTGTCACTACCTCTTCCAGCTCCAATTCTGTTAAACCAATTGATTTCGAATGTAAAAATCCTAGCTGAAAAGTTTTTGAAATGTCAGCTATTAAAACTACCTCACTTTTTATGTGTACTTTTTGCGTAATTAAATAGTTTTTTATTATTATTTTGAATATTTTTATTGAAAAAAATACGTTGATTAAGAATTTCTTCAATTTCAAAAATAAAGGTATTGTATCTATTTTTAATTTTGTAGAAATTGTTTAACAGTTGTCTATAAAATGGTGAGAGCATTTTAAGCTGCGTCAAATTGGTTTCAAAAATGTATTTATTTTGGTTTGCTTGTCTATGGGAGTTAAGTATGTAAAAACAGGCTTCCTTTCACGGACCTTTTAATTTTTTACTGTGCATTTTTGACACCCAGTTTATTTGTATAGCCTTTAGTTTATTAGTTAAACTTACTACTCCAGCACCCCATGCCTTATTTTCTGCTGTGACATTTCTTTAATTAATCTTAAAACTTTATCGGCCACAAAATATTGTTTACTTTTGCTTCTTTTTGATTTCAGATTAGTTTATTGGGGAGGGGTACAACAAAGTCCAAATGTAAAACTTGTGGAATTACTAAAGTATTATAGTTTTTTTTCTTTTAGGGATAGTTTATACTTTTCCCATTTATTAAGGGTAAATTTCATTTTCAAAAAACGTTCTATCCAATTGGTGTTATACATAAAACTTCCCGTATTAGATAAAGTTAAACCAAGACTTTTAAAAGATTTTCATTCCCAGTTAGAGTTTAGAAAAGGTACTTTATTTTCAAAACGGTTTTTACGTTACCACATTAGCATTTTGTAAAGTAATTTTGGAGCTTGTTGCTTTTTGGTTAAGTTTTAAGGCTTCGGCTCAATTTTTTATGGAGTTATCTCCAGATAAGTAAAAATCTGTATCATCAGCGTACTGCTGAATTTTGGTTTCTTTTCCTCCAAATTTAATTCCTTTAATGCTTTTGTTTTGTCTAATATATGTTGAAAATATCTCTGCTTGAATGATGTATAGAATCATTGATAAAGGGCAAGCATGTCTTACTTCTCTAAGGATGTTTATATTTTCGGAAAGTTGTCCGTTTATTTTAACTTTTGCTACAATATTTCGATAAATAGTTTTAATATAAGATATATATTTTTTATAAATACTTTTATTGACAAAAAAATTTTGTTTCATACTAATATATCGTAATTCTTTGTCAAGACTAAAATAGTAGAAAATAAAATATAGCTATAACATTTGCTCAAAAATATAAACTTTTTTGTACTAAAAAGTAGAGAACAACTTTTTAATTTAAATTTAATAGTTCAGTAAACTAAAAATTGACAGGTGTGTGCAGAGCTGTCAATCTTTAGTTTTAAATTTAAATGAAAAAGTTTAATTTCTACTTTTTAGTACAAAAAAGATTTTATTTTTGAGCAAATGTTTTTGCTATATTTTATTTATGTTTTCGACGCTATTCCAATTTTACTACTTGTAACAAAATTCCATTTATTATTAGTGACATTAATCCTTTTTTTTTATTTTCGGCACTATTCATTAAATTAATTTGCGGCACTGTTCCTTTTTATGTTTTTAACACTATTCTGATTTTACTATTTGTGACTTTGTTCCGACTTAACTATTTGCGACACTATTCCTTTTACTATATCCGATACTGTTCCGACTTTACTATTTGCGACATTATTCCGTTTTTTTTACTTCCAACACTATTCATTAAATTCATTTGTAACACTATTTCTCTTTTTTGCGACATTAGGCCTTTTTAGTTTATTCGACACTATTTCGAAATATTTTTCGATATTATTTGTCACCCCACTAAAAGTATCAAACAAAAAGTAGTTTAAGAGTTGCAATTACCACATCTGGTATTTTATATTAAAAATATATACTATAAATATGATATAATTTTCTTTTTAACTGATTGCAACGGAATAAACAAAGAGCTGTTATGAAAAAATCAAAAAAATTTGCCTATACCGTTTTATTAAAAGATGATTTTTTTTATAAATAAAGCGGTACAGGCAGCTATCAATTTTTTAAGTAAATTATGAAGTTTTTGTTTTCGTAATTTACGATAGCTAAATTACTTGAAAAATTCATAGGTGAAAAAATGATTTTTTTGATTTTTTTTTATAACGGTTTACCAACTTAAAACAAAAATTAAACTGGTTTCTATTAGCTATTAGAAATTTTTTTTTAATAAAAACGAATTTTTATAACTTTAGAATTTTAATAACCTAAAGTAGTAAAATTATTAATATAAAATTGTTGATAGAATATTTATTAAAGTTTTTTTTTTAATTTTAATGTTATTAAGGTACCTCAAGAAGTCCTTACAGTTTTATCACAGAGCACAGTGGATGAGCATTTAGGAAGTTCCCGCCTCCTTCCTAACCGATATCGCAAAACATGACCAGAGGTGGGCTTTTTTTTCTATATATGCACTACCACTGCGCCATGGCTGCTCTGTGTTAATAAAAAGGTGTTTAGAAAAACGTAATTTTAAAAACGTTTTAAAAGCAAAGATAAAAACCATGTTATTATGAACCAAGTTTTATTCAAAACAAATATATATATATATATATATATATATATATATATATATATATATATATATATATATATATATATATATATATATATATATATATATGCTGCGGCTGCGCTACGGCTGTTTTTGACTAGTTAGTCGGCAAATGTCGACCCTTTCAATATAGGTTAGTCGGTAATTTACAGTTAGTAGGCAAATGTCGTCATGGTAGTCGGCAAATTTTCAAAAACGAGGACCTTTTTTTTTTTTTTTTTTTAAAACGGCAAAAGTGACCACCCCCCCCCCCCACGTGACGCCTACTCGCGCCGGCCCTGTATATATATATATATATATATATATATATATATATATATATATATATATAAGAAATTCTTTTCGTTTTTATGGTGGTAGACCACTATTAAAAATCAAAAAAATCGTTTTTTCAGTTTTAAAGTTTTTAAGTAATATAATTATTGTAGATTAGGAATTTCGAATTAGTTTTATATAAAATTAAAGCTAACCCTATGAAAAAACCAATTTTTATTAATGCGGTTTAGGATATTTTTAAAATTT